CAGCAGGATAATGCACCATGTCACAAAGCTCGAATCATTTCAAATTGGTTTGTTGAACATGACAATGAGTTCACTGTACTAAAATGGCCCCCACAGTCACCAGATCTCAACCCAATAGAGCATCTTTGGGATGTGGTGGAACGGGAGCTTCGTGCCCTGGATGTGCATCCCACAAATCTCCATCAACTGCAAGATGCTATCCTATCAATATGGGCCAACATTTCTAAAAAATGCTTTCAGCACCTTGTTGAATCAATGCCACGTAGAATTAAGACAGTTCTGAAGGCGAAAGGGGGTCAAACACAGTATTAGTATAATAATCCTTTAGGGGAGTGTATATATATAATATATATATATATATATATATATATATATATATATATATATATATATATATATATATATATATATATACACACATATTATGAATAAAAAACTTTTGTTACATGTGATTGATTGCAATTAATCAATTTGGCATTTTTACATTATATACTGTAAATACTGTCAAATCGATTAATCGCATCAACATAAACGTTTGTATTTATGTGTGTGTATATATATATATAAATACACACACAGATATATTTACAAACTTTTGATAGCAGGGATTAATCTCGATTAATCGGTTTGACAGCACTAATATATATACACTCACCGGCCACTTTATTAGGTACCCCATGCTAGTAACGGGTTGGACCCCCTTTTGCCTTCAGAACTGCCTCAATTCTTCGTGGCATAGATTCAACAAGGTGCTGGAAGCATTCCTCAGGGAGTTTGGTCCATATTGACATGATGGCATCACACAGTTGCCGCAGATTTGTCGGCTGCACATCCATGATGCGAATCTCCCGTTCCACCACATCCCAAAGATGCTCTATTGGGTTGAGATCTGGTGACTGTGGAGGCCATTTTAGTACAGTGAACTCATTGTCATGTTCAAGAAACCAATTTGAAATGATTAGAGCTTTGTGACATGGTGGAAGTAGCCATCAGAGGATGGGTACATGGTGGCCATAAAGGGATGGACATGGTCAGAAACAATGCTCAGGTAGGCCGTGGCATTTAAACGATGCCCAATTGGCACTAAGGGGCCTAAAGTGTGCCAGGAAAACATCCCCCACACCATTACACCACCACCACCAGCCTGCACAGTGGTAACAAGGCATGATGGTTCCATGTTCTCATTCTGTTTACGCCAAATTCTGACTCTAACATCTGAATGTCTCAACAGAAATCGAGACTCATCAGACCAGGCAACATTTTTCCAGTCTTCAACTGTTCAATTTTGGTGAGCTCTTGCAAATTGTAGCCTCTTTTTCCTATTTGTAGTGGAGATGAGTGGTACCCGGTGGAGTCTTCTGCTGTTGTAGCCCATCCGCCTCAAGGTTGTGCGTGTTGTGGCTTCACAAATGCTTTGCTGCATACCTCGGTTGTAACGAGTGGTTATTTCAGTCACTGTTGCCCTTCTATCAGCTCGAACCAGTCTGGCCATTCTCCTCTGACCTCTGGCATCAACAAGGCATTTCCGCCCACAGAACTGCCGCTCACTGGATGTTTTTTCTTTTTCGGACCATTCTCCGTAAACCCTAGAGATGGTTGTGCGTGAAAATCCCAGTAGATTAGCAGTTTCTGAAATACTCAGACCAGCCCTTCTGGCACCAACAATCATGCCACGTTCAAAGTCACTCAAATCACCTTTCTTCCCCATACTGATGCTCGGTTTGAACTGCAGGAGATTGTCTTGACCATGTCTACATGCCTAAATTCACTGAGTTGCCGCCATGTGATTGGCTGCTTAGAAATTAAGTGTTAACGAGCAGTTGGACAGGTGTACCTAATAAAGTGGCCGGTGAGTGTATATACTGAATGAAGTAACTTGTTTATTTGTAATATTGTTTTATTATGTATTTAATATTATCCGATGAAAAGTGTGGAACAAGTTTAGAAAAATAATGTTTTTGACAGTTGAAAAATCTTGCTGTGGGAAATTCTAACCACTAGTATCATCAAACTCTTCATGACCCACAATCAGAAGAATTTTAATTCCAGGCCATTCAATTCAAATGTTATAAGCGGAAACGTAACTGCAACTTTGAACTGTTGGGGGCGCTAGAGAGATAATGGTCAATTTGATGCCAAGACATTCATAACATGCTTTTAATCTTTCCCTCATCACAGGATGTTTAGTATATAAAACCAGCACTCGCTTGCCCCATTACACCTCATGCGATGTTCATAACCACCACATAAAAGTGTCCATCTCTCCTCCAGGAGGACTGTTGCCTGAAGACTCTTCAGCATTCTGCCATTGACATTTCCTCAGAGAAGCCCTCAACACTACAAATACACCAAATAAACACCGCATACTAGATGATGGTGATTTGCAAATTCTTATGAACTTTTTTAACTGTATACTTTATCTATTTATTGTAACACATAGAAAAAACTTTAAATCAATCAAGTGCAGCTAATATCAGTGACAGAAACTCCATGTGAAAGAAGCCATTGCAGAACAAGTTTCTTCATTTTATGTTGTTATTCAAAAGATACATAATACAAAAACAATAATTTTTTTTAAAGATGACACTGATGTGTAGCTACACTCATGGAGTTCATTATTTTGGACAGAATGGGGTTTTGGACATAAATCCATCAGTTTAACACACTTAATGACACTTCCTGTGTAAACGTCTATGATGTTCCTCTTGAGGGATGAATAATACGAGGCCATTCAAAATGGCTTGAAGAAACAAGCTCAGATAAGATTAATTCAGAGGAAATTAACATGATTCAAAAACGTATTAAACCTTATTGTTTTATAATGGATCTTCAAAAACAAACGCTTTATTTGAGAACAGGTCAGACTTCAAGACCGCCCGTTTCTGGACTATTGAAGCTCTGCCGCATGAGCTTTATTTATATATTCTTAGTTTAGATCATTGTAATTTACCCAACGTCGCATCATCAACATTCAATTTAAATGTACTGTTTTGTAATACACAATCCTGGCTTTATTGTGCACGATTCGTTGGTGCACATTATTCTGATGGGGGGAAAAAATGGCCTTCATAATTTTGGTAACACGTCACAATAAGCTTTAATTCCTTGATATTCATTTTCTCACATTTTATTAATGTAGGTTAATTGTTGTATTGTTGACTGTCAATTCAGTTTTATTCATAAAATATTAACTATTTAGTTTATAGATCCTGAAACATTAAGAATGTATATGTAAAATGAACTTTAAAATAAAATAACATTACAATCCAATTAACTCGAGGACAAAATCAAGTCCTGTTTCACTTGGAAATATGTTGCATTACGAAAGTAAAAAGCCATTTCATGTTTTTAAAAAACCCGTTAAATTCTGCATCAATATTTAATTGTAAACAAATGATACCTGAATTAATATTTTTACTTACTGAATTAATACTTTCCAGCATTTTAATCATTATATAATCCTGTCCCTTTAAAAAATGGGTAACACTTTACAATAAGGTTTCATTAGTTAACAGTAAAGAAATTTAGTTGACATGAACAAAGAATGAACAATACTTCAACACTGTAAAAAACCCCCCCGTAAATTTACAGGTAACGGCCTGTTTTTTTTTTACAGAAATTTGCCGTTTTGTCATTATACAGCGAATTCCTGTTATTTGCTGTAATTTAAAGGTCCACTATTAAATTTACAGGTAATTGCTTGTATTTTAGTTTTACATCAATTTTACGTTTTTTTAAAGGAAATTGTCTGTATTTTTACAGGGTTATGTGTAATTTTACATAAAATATTCGTAATATTTTACAGTTTTTTTCTGTTAAATTAGAAAACACAGAAAAGAAGGTATAACTGCAGAAATCAGCAGTCATTTAACATGTTTTCCTTGAAGATCATTAAGCATGTGGGTGTTAAAGTGAGTTTTAAGGTTAAATAATAGTATTTCCGTACTATATACGGTAAAAACTGTGATAGATCTAATGGTACATTTAATGTAATTTTACTGTACAGTTTTTGAAAGTGAAAAAGAACAACTCGTTTAATTTACAGTGAAAAAACGTAAATTGACATTCCCACAATTCTCTGCGTGACACTTAACATTTGATGTGTTTTTGTTGAAAAAACTACGTTTCTTCATAGTTTTCTTAGTTTTTTTTTAATCAGTTATGTATATTAGGGTTTTATGTTACATTTAATGTTGTTAAACTAATGTTTATTGCATTTTTTAAATTTCATGTGTCACCATGATGGTGTTTAATGTTTGTGCGAATGACACTGTGCAGTTTCTATATATTAGTATTAACTCTCTTGTGGAAGAGCTGCTTATGATGAGCTTTGAATGATCATGTGACTCATCACCACTGAGGTTGTTGGTTGTCAGTGTATTACAATGGTACAAAACCGAAATTAATACTTCAATAGGTCAGTAAATTAACATTATATCAGATAATGAAAGATAATTTTGTGTAGAATAACAGTAATAAACCATAATTATAGGATAAGAAATTACCATTTTTTTTACAGTTTTTTTTACAGTTTTTTTCCTGACAGTATTTTTCCGTTTTTTAACAGACATTTTCTGGCGCCCCTGCTGCCAGAAAATTACCGTTTTTTTACGGGTTTTTTTTTACAGTGCAGCATTTATTAATTTTAGATTTCATTTAGTCAATTTTTACATTTACTAATACATTATTAAAATCAAATGTTGTATTTGTTAACATTAGTTAATGCACTGTGAATTAAACTATTTTATTAACAAACATTGACGAAAATGAATACATACAGTAACAAATGTATTGCTCATCGTTAGTTAATACATTAACTAATATTAACAAATGAGACCTTATTGTAAAGTGTTACCAAAAAAAAAACGTATCTATTGACAGTTCAGTGTATACATGCCAAGAAAAAAAGACATTCAAAAGAAAATATTTCAAGTCTTTATTATTCTCAAACGTGTCCCTTCATTCAGCATAGTTAGAGAGGTCTAGACTCTAGAGGTTAGAAATCACCCAGAAGTTTCTATTTGATACTGCTGTTACTCATTGTCTGAGCTTTGCACACTCCTTTGCCGGCGACCTCGAAGGCAGCGCCCTTGTAAGTGGCCACGCATTGGTCATCGGTGCGCAAGTCTGGCTGGACCTGCTCCCACACTTTCTTCTTAGGGTTCAGCTCCTTGTCAGGCTCACCTGGACCAACAAAAATAAAAAAAGGTCATTACTCATGAGTGATTAGTTTTCCCAACAGCTGTAAAAAGACTGAAAACAAAGCCGGTTTTGAAATCATCTCGGCGTGTCATTAACATCCACTTCAACAGGCTAATTCATAACGAATCTAGAACGAATTTAAAGTGACTCCGTTCCATTAAAAAATCAAGCCGAGCCAAACCGAGATGCTCCAAAACTCAAGGACTCATGGAAACCAGATAAAGACACCTGTTTTTGCTACTACCTACAATAAGCAGACATAAATCAAACTAAAATGAATCCAAACACTTGATTTGAATGCGTAGAGTCAGAATTTGGCGTAAACAGAATGAGAACATGGATCCATCATGCCTTGTTACCACTGTGCAGGCTGGTGGTGGTGGTGTAATGGTGTGGGGGATGTTTTCTTGGCACACTTTAGGCCACTTAGTGCCAATTGGGCATCGTTTAAATGCCACGGCCTACCTGAGCATTGTTTCTGACCATGTCCATCCCTTTATGGCCACCATGTACCCATCCTCTGATGGCTACTTCCAGCAGGATAATGCATGTCACAAAGCTCGAATCATTTCAAATTGGTTTCTTGAACATGACATATGACAACTTGATTTGAATGCAGATCCTGGTTTTATGGGTCTAATATTTTAGTGCTGACCTTTTCACAACCACCATAACGGTACAAACAAAGAAAGGTCACAGTCTGTCCCCATTACTTCTAATGACTACAGGACAGGTACAGATGCATGCAACGAATACAAAATAAAACCTCTACAAATATGATTTAAATGAAATCCCAGAGACTTTTGCATGGGAGAATACCAAATAATTGCATGGCAATTCATAAAAAGAACAAGCAGCACACAAGAAGAAAGAGTAGAAAGGGAAGTAAAAAACATAATATCAAAATTGTTGTCTGTAATCCCTTCTCCCTGTAATTATTGTGTTATGGCAATTTTTTTGTTGTTGCAAATGTCATTTTATGACTCCCAACAACTGGAGGAATTTGGAGAACTGCCTTATTCCTGCTACGTGCTTTGTGTTCGTTTTGGGAACGACTGAGAATAACAACTGTGATTTACTGTGAAAAAAAAAAAAAAAAGACCGGGACAACATCTCAGGCTTTTCAGCCAAAAGCAAGCACGAGGAAGAAGAGCTGGGAAGGTGAAAGAGACATTATTGTGCAGATGGTCCACCTCTGCGCTCCACATTCACGCAATTGCTGGGAATCTTCCCGTTAGTTATTGTGCTCAAACACGAATGCTGCACTCTTCCAGATCGCATGCATGCCAGATCCACCATATTTCGCATCTTGAGAATAACATTTGGATTGTTTGTGAGGTTCCCCAAAGCACTGAGGAATTTGCTCTTTATTTTTAATGGGAAAATAATATTAGCTTATATGGTTGTAATGCAAACAACTAAAGGCTTGAATACGCTATGCAACTTTTCCAGTTTTTTTGTCCAGGTTTACATTCTGAACAAGTCAAGTGACTTTTATTTATATAGCACATTATACAGGTGAAACTCGAAAAATTTGAATATCGTGCAAAAGTTCATTTATTTCAGTAATTCAACTTAAAAGGTGAAACTAATATATTATATAGACTCATTACATGCAAAGTGAGATATTTCAAGCCTTTATTTGTTATAATTTTGATGATTATGGCTTACAGCTTCACAATATTCTAATTTTGAATTTGGGGTTTTCATAAGGTGTAAGCCATAATCATCAAAATGATAACAAATAAAGACTTGAAATATCTCACTTTGCATGTAATGAGTCTATATAATATATTAGTTTCACCTTTTAAGCTGAATTACTGAAATAAATGGACTTTTGCACGACATTCTAATTTTTCGAGTTTCACCTGTATAAAATACAGATTTAAACAGTTGAAATCAGTTCAGTGTTGATTCAGTTCGGTTCAATAACTGTGTCAATTATGAAATGAGTTCAATTCAGCAATAAAGCAGCTCTGGAGAAAACAGTGATGTCATCATCGAATCGTGTCACTGCAGTCAAGTCGAATTGCCGAATATTGAAGTCTACGCGAGTTGTGAAAAGTTACAGTATAGCCAAGTCTGCAGATTTTCAGATTTTACAGAAACCGCATAGTGCGTGATGGGCACAGACTCAGAATATGAGGGGATACAACATGTTCGATATTTTGAGCTGATTTTAGAGCACATTGTTTTTATTTGTCACGAATTTGTGTTCTCAACTACTTGAAAATCTGGTTGCATGTGATCCAGTCATTTAGTGTATGTATAATGCCTAGTGTTGTGTAGTGCATTCCAGTTAAGAAACAAGGAACATCAAGTTCTTTACTGAAAGATCTTAAGAAATCAAAAAGGACAATTGTGGTTAAACAACAGCCTTGAGAATCTGTACCCCCTAAAGTGGCATAGCAAGATGTTTGAGTACCGACACGAGAAGGCTGGACTACATTACAGCTTATTATGGCTGAACGTGGACAGGAAGAAAGAGACCATATCAAATGGCCAACCTGTAAAATGTTCATCCTAACAAGATGTTGTGCCAGGTCAATGATGCAAAAGAAGTTTGAGAGCTATGGCAAAAGTGAATACAGACAAGCTTTTATATGGCTGCAGAAAACTTGGAATATAGTGCATGATGCGTCACATAAATCGATTTTATGATATTTGAATGCAGTTTTTAGATCACGACAGCTGCTGGTCACCATATGCTCGTTTTATTTTTGTTTGTTTTTTGGAAAAGAGCAGCGTCAACATTTTGCCTAACGTCTACTTTCGTGTCTCATGGAAGAAAGAAACTCATAATGGTTTCGAAATGACACGAGGGCGAGTAAATCATAGCAGAACTTTCATTTTTATGAGAGATATTCCTTTAATAAACCAGCATGAGGAACTCAGATGGGCTCTATGAAGCAGACTGTAGATGCCATTGGACGTCTGAACGGTAATCTCGTATTTCATTGCAGTACGTTTGTGTATAAATATGAAACGTTACCTGGGAAGCCCTGGACGGAAACCCTGTCTCCAGCCACGGCTCCACTCGGGGGATCCAGGATTTCAACTTTCTCCGGAGAGCTGGCACACATGACCATGGCCTGAGACAACACGCCTCTCATCTTAGCAGGCTTCAGGTTGCATAGCAGCACAGCCATACGATTCTGCATCTGAAGATGGAGGAATCCGGCATTAGACAGTTAAATGGTCGGCACGGGAATCACGATCAATTAAATGTTTAACTTATTATTGCATGGCAGAAAGAGAAATTATGCAATGGCCCAAAAATATCAACAACACACTGCATAATAAGGAACAGCTGAGCAACTTCATAATAGCTGACTTATTCGTTTTTATAACCAAGAACAAGGGAGGCAGAACAAAACAGACCCCTAACAAAATTAATAAACTGAATACATGCAATAAGCAATCTCATTCATCTCATCTACCTCCAAATCCTGTATGTAACGAACTGTGGACATTCATTATCATTTAAATGCACAAACACACATAAAGCAACTGTGATGTTGTCATAACCCAACATGATTAAATGAATGAAGGAAACAGATGCGTTTTATAGGTGTAATTAGAATTTCTGACGAGCTGCTAGGAATCCCCTAAACAAATCATAAACTCGGGGTCCTGGAAAATAAAACACAGGAGACCGAGCCGTCTGCATGGAGCAGGTTTATGGACCCGCATGAATCGTGCTAGTGCAGACGTTTTATATGAAACAGTAAAACTGAAATATCCCCCTTCACAATATTCTGACACATAACACCTAATCAACAAAAGCCGTATTCTTTTTTATGGCAAACAAAGATTGCTCTCAGGTACAGTAGCGAGGCGTACAGTGTTCCTGTAACTTCAGACCATTGCATAACATGGTCTAGTAGGGGTGTAAATATTAGCTTGATGGATATTAATCAGAGATTTGGCCATGATTCAGTTTGTTTCATGCATGATTCATGTTTCAGTAACATTTTAATTCAATGTGACAGTTGCACGTTAGTAATAACAGTACATTATGCATTACAAGTAAGCCTAAACACATGCAGTTAATTAATATTACTCAGTACTTATTTGGGCAATTACACTGCAGCTGCATTAACATAAAATAAAGAGTAACCGATTTTTCTTTTAATATACTAAAGATAAATGTAACTGGAGGGACAATTTAATGTAAATAAAAAAAAAAAAAATCAGTGAGATCTGATGATGAAAATTCAATGCACTGATGACTGAATTTTTACGAAATTAATTACTTAAGGCGTGTTATAAATGACTGAATAAATGCGATAAATGATTTGTTGCATTTCAGTGATTTCTGTAGCGATGACTGTGCTAAACACAGGTGTGTGTCAGGCAGTGTTGTGCCTGAACGCGTTCAATGAACGATAGTTCATGAACTCGTTCATATTTTGGGCGAACGTGAACTGAACATGACTGTATTACTGCCTGATGAACGTTACGGTGAACGCGTTCATTCTGGTGTCTGTGAACGCACGCTCTCTCAGTTTAACTTCGTTCAATAGGGTGCCAGATTTTTATAGAGCCCAACACCTGCTAAAACACGGGTAAACATGCCTTAATATGTAGCGAAAAAACACCCAATCTGGCAACACCAACCACCAGTGTCGCACCGCGGCCGCCGCATGCGTCATCAAGACAAAAAGCAGCATAGTCGACAAAGCAGCGAGCGAGGAGGCGTCGTATGATTATTTAAACGAGTTGTATGACAAGGTCGGTGAGGATGGGAAAAATCTTACATTTCTGTGCAAACTTTGCCCGTCGATAAAAATAATTGCTGTCTGTGGTTGTATATGGGCTGTGGCAATAAAAAAAAAAAAAAAAAAAAATAGTTTGCAGCAACATATGGAAAAACAGAACTATGAACAACAAGTTCGTTTTTTGAAGTATGAACTATGAACTGAACTAGTTCATTTTAAAATTTGTGAACTGAACTTTGAACTAGTTTATGTAGAAAATGAACTTTCCCAACACTGGTGTCAGGGGTTAGATGGATACCTGCTCCAGAGGGATGTGTTTGACCAGGCCACTGACAACAGTGCGTGGAGCCGCGTCGCCCACATCCACCTGCTCAACGTAGAGAGAGTCGGCGTCAGGGTGCTTCTCTGCGCTGATGATGCGGCCCACCCGCAAATCCAGTCGGGACACGTCAACTTTTGCCTCTTCCTGAGGCGGCGCCGCTGGCTTCTTCTCTTTCTTCTCACCTGGACCAAAAGCGCATCAGAATGTGTCTTTAAGATATTTTTGTGTTTGTAAATCGAAGCGGAATTGCTAAATTATGAATCATCACATAACACACCATAAATATCTGTAAAAAAGCACAAGCTGTGTATGTAGGCTATTACAGACATTGCTGAAACCTCAGCACACTGTGTCGTTCTGGGGTTTTATCACAGTACATGTCCACCCTGAGGAAATGTGCCTTTAGTTTGTGAGGTGTTTTTAATGCAGCTCTTTGATAGATATTTTTAGCTTGTGCACATTGTTCCCCAGGGAGCCGTTGGGACACTTTTCAAGCCATGTAAAATTACCCAGGCTTGTCATTTCTGTTCTGTTTTCGAGCTTTTCCCGAAACAACTCTGCCAACAATGGCTTCAGTATGGCATTTGTTTCTAATCTCACCAGTCATTTGAAAAAGTGTACAACTTTAGCACTGTTTCCGGACATATGGGGTCAGGGGACACTGTTTTGGACCACCTCTTCACCCTGTAAATCTCGAAATGAAAATGGGTAGTCTACACAAGCGCTACAGTTCAAAAGTGTGGGGTCAGTGAAATTACTTTAAATAATAATACTTTTATTCACAACTGTTTAAAACATTGATAATAATCAGAAATGTTTCTTGAGCAGCAAATCATCATATCAGAATGATCTCTGAAGGATCATGTGACACCGAAGACTGGAGTAATGATGCTGAAAATTCAGCTTTGATCACATGAATAGATTTTTGGATTAGGGATTCACAATTTTATTTTTAGTAGCACAAAATTTAATAATAATAATTAGTTTATTACAAATAAATATATACATTTTTATATAATTTGATCAAATTGTTATTATTATGCCTCCCCCACACCTAAACATTAGGCTTTGGGCAATTCAAATTGTCAATAAAATCAGTTTACAGATGACCTAAATGACCTTCTTACCCTTAAAAAGTAAATTTGGTCTCAAAGGTTTAACCTTTTTGACTGTAAACTATATTTATTTCATACAGACATTTGATGTATTAAAAACATTCATGCCAGTTTCATATCAATTTTATCTAACATATCTCGTTTGATGTTTGACTTTAACGCTTGAAAAAGTCACAGAAATGCACCAAAGTGCATTTTATTTGTGGAAATACCCAGTAATGGTTGATTTTTTCCCTTAGTTATTCACTTTTAACCATTTTAAAGCATTTTTACGACCATTTAACCGTAGCATTGCAATGCGGCCTGGTTAAACCCTCTTCACTTTCTCAGAACACCTTTTAAATTCCACGTCAAGTTGTCAACAGCTGTTAAATATGCTTTTTATTCCAAACCTTTAAAGAGGAAAAACGAGTGCAGTAGACGACCCTTCACTTTTGCAGCAGACCCTGTATATAATTAATTCAATCACAGGCTTTTGTGGTTTTTATAATTTCAATTGTGATTTTGATTAATCACACAGCACTAATTTAAGTCTAGAAGAAAATGTGCCAAGATTCCTCCAAGTCTTCTAAATGTGACGAGCCATATAGCACTGCCAAGAAAGAGATATGCATGAAATACAGGTGCAACAGAGGCTTTCATCCACATCGAAACACAGCATACATCAACACTGAAGGAGGAGAGGCATATTTGAGAATTATTAAACTGCTTTTGACATCTGGCCCACAGGAATGTCAGAGAAACGCACAAGTTAACTTGTTTTTCCTCAGCCCAAAAATGCACAAACATGATCTGCGATTTTCGTACTTGGATACAGTATGAACAGAGTGTTCCCAAGTTGAAGGGATTTAAGTGATTTGAAATGAAAATCATTTTCATAATAAATAACCATGAAAGGAAATCTGATTCATTTCATATGCTCTGTTCTTTAGGATATGAATACTTAATGAAATATAACAACCCGAAGACAATAGTGACGTCTTGAAATCTGGTTTGCCTTCAGATCAGGTTGTAACCCAAATGAGTTTGAGCTGCATCCACAGCTAACATTCGCTTAAACCGTGTCTGACAGGAGAGATAACAGCTTTCATGCACGTCTTTCAAAATAAGTCTTGCATCAGAAACACTGGTGTAACTCATTCACATATTCCCCAAAAATTCAATTCACCCCTAGATACGACAGCCTACCCTTAATAATTAGCCATATTTATGGCCCTCTTCGGTAACACTTTATTTTACAGTGTCATTGGCCTAAATCAAACCTAATCCTAAACCTAATTAATATTGCTCAGTAACTTCACCGATTTGCGACTCGACTTGTATTGTAAACAATGTTTACTTATTCTCCGCATTACCTGTACTGAGAAAATCACGTTTATTTGTCAGAAAAGTCCACCGTGTGACGCAAAACCTAGTTCCAGGGCTTTCGTGAAAACTACAGATTATAACACATTTATGCATCCTTGTGATCGACAGAGGGTTAATATTAACAGAACAGTTATTGTTTAGCAATAACTAGGTTTATCACTGAAAATTACCGGTATATTGTTCTCGGTGTACTCTTTAAACAGCATTAAGGTAAAAACAGAAGCTTTCTTACCTGTACAGGCGGAACTGACAAAATGGCCATTTCTTTTATACTGTGTTTGTGGTCATCCAGTTTGAAGTTGACTATATTTCAGATTTTCCATTGCGGCGTTCTGTCCATATTTACGATTCTTTGCAGCTTTTAGCGTGCTGGATCCCTCACTGGAAACCGATAGTAACTCACTCCTGCTAAACGTTCACTTTTTGAATTCTTTCAACACTATTATGACTAAAAGTTTGCTAAGTAGTATGTCCTACTAAAGCAAGGCATGATTTGACTGGTAAGCGTATCCATAACAGACTGAAAGGAGTGGCCTTGGACTCCAACATGCCCAAGTGCATTGTGGGTGTTGAAGTTTTCCAACCAATTTGGCAAAAAGGAAGTCAACAGCCTCTTTTCTCTGTTTTCTCTATTCGGGTAGAAACCAAAAAAAAAAAAAAAGCCTTTCTACTGTATATAGGCAGTAGGCTTGCCGCGATAGACGGTGTTGACTGTGTTAAGCCCCATCACCGGTGACATCACTTTCCCACCGTGACACCGCGATGTCTTGACTTTTTTAAAGTATTCGTTTTTGCTAAAATATTTATTTGAATTAGGGCCGGGACTTTAACGCGTTAATTAAGATTAATTAATTACAGACTTTAACGCGTTAATTAATTACACAAATTATTTTAATCACACTTAGTTTTGCTCCGCGGAACGTTTCTCACTGGATGAGTTTCGGCGGACCGATTATACTGGCGCACCAACTAGCGTTCATGATGAAGAAGCTGACGAGATCGCTTGCTTCATAGATCGCCTTGGTTGACCGGTGGATGGGAAATTTTGTTATAAAAAGCGAATGGATGGAAGCGTCGATAAGAGCATGGTTGTGTGCAAGCTATGCAACAAGGAATTCGCTATTGCTATTAGTGTAGTGTAGCAATATGCTATTGCTACACTTAATGGCAAAAATTGCACTGGTCTGCTGGACTTGGTTGAACAAAAATAAACTATTTTGTTGCTTAAGCTTATGTATTCAGTCATTATTCAATAGTATACTAAAAATCCATGTGAAAAAAATTACTTCTCACTGTTCTCAGGTCAAATATTTATGCAGTTAAAATGCGATTAATTTCGATTAATTAATTACAAAGCCTCTAATTAATTAGATTAATTTTTTTAATCGAGTCCCGGCCCTAATTTGAACTGCGCAGTGCGTGCCAAGAGCCAGTCACGTCACAGATCAGCAAGCATCAGGATTCCATTTAGCACGTGTGGAGATGAGAACGAGTCAAATTAAAGAAAAGCAAGATAATGGCGGAATGTGTAATTTATTTAGGCCTGTTTTATTTTCTTATTCGTTAATAAACGTTTTATGGTTCTTATTTGTTTGGGCCCACAGTTTGACGATTTTCAGCCTATGCATGGGGTTATTTTTATTCGTTCGGGATTACCGGTGTCGTGACACGTCGATTAACCGGTGGGAAATTTTCCTCACCGCGGCAACCCTAATAGGCAGCCATTTTATTGAAAGCCCATTTTCCCAGCGGTGAAGTATTCCTTTAAAGGGGAACTTGGCAACTATTTCAACTTAATAAAACCGTTTTGAAATCATTTGAATGGTTCAATAACCTGTTCTGGAGAGAATGGTGACTTTCCCCGCTACCCCCAGCGTTCCCAGGCGGAAAACCAACCTTGCAACATGGGGACTAACGTCCCGGTAAGTTGGAAATAGGAAGTCTCGTGAGAAGCGAGAACGAGCGAGAAACACGAACTGCTTTATGGCAATTCAACACAATTCTATGATACTGTGTATGATGTATTACCCACCTCGGTAACATAGCTCCACACGATAAAGTTGTCTGGCTCCGATAATAACAAATGCACATGAACGGCGATAGAAAGCGGGAGGAGGGTGCCGCAAGTGAGTTTTTTTATGACAGTGGTGTGAAAATATACGCCCCACAGCTGTAGGGGGAGCTCGAAGAGAAAACATGCGACAACAAAAGTGAAAATCAGCGAAGAAATGGCTAGAGTTGCCAAGTTCCCCTTTAAATATATAATTACACAGCAACAGCTTAAAATAAAGCTCTAACATCGCAAACGTTGTTGCAAATGAATCAACAGCAATTGCTGGAAACTTTGCCACTGCAGAGATGAACTGCTAGAAAAGGAAATGTCATACTAATAGTCTCAAAAGTATGCTTACCCTTCTTCTCGGCTTTCATCTTTTTCGTGTCATCGTTGTTTTTGGCAGGTGGTGTTTTTGTGGCGGGAGCAGAAGGGGCTGCTGGGGCAGGTGGCTCTGCGGCTGTCGGTTTAGAGACGCACTGGATGCTGGGCTCCGCTGAAGGCATGGCCACCTCTTTCACTGCGAAGAACAATTATCATTAGAAAAACAATCCCGAATGCTCACCACAAGGTGAAGGTTTGTTTACTAATTTGAAGGCACTATATTAACACTCATCTTGCACTGCACAGATTTGTACCCACTCAAATGCTCTCAAGAATGAGAACGTCCCTCCCTCTAATACCACATGCAACTAACTATGAATATAACAAGGAACAGCACAAAGTGAAAAGTCTAGTTCTGTGTTTAGGAGTTTCTGACCACCCAGCAGGCATCATTAATGTTTAAATGTGGGTGGTCATGTGTTGGTGGTCATTTAATTCTGGACTGTAGGAAGTTTTGAATTTTCTAAAAGTTACAGTATGTTTCCAAGTACAGCATCTTAGTACTTCATTATTTCAAGAACATCAGCAAGAATACAGTGTGTTATGTGATATTATACCTCCTCTACTTCTTTCCATGTCAAAAAGTTGTTTCTTCAGGTCCTCAATGTCCTTCTTGAGCTTGGCGTTCTCCACCATCAGTTTCTTCTCCTCTTTCACTGTGGCCTGCACAACTACACAAAACAGCATTTATTAGAACAAGACAAACACACATCAATTCAGCAGTGACAAATAAGAATGGAGTCCTGTTTAAAATATTATTAAAGGGAAAGTTCACCCAAAAATGAAAATTCTGTCATCAACCCTGAATGAATTTCTTTCTTATGGTGAAGACAAAAAATATATATTTTGAAGAATGTTGGTAACGAAACCGGTCCATGGCCCATTGACTTCAATAGCATGGAACAAAATACTATGGAAGTCAATGGCGCCCTTCCATCACCTGTTTGGTTACCGACATTCTTCAAAATATTTTCTTTTGTGTTCAGCAGCAAAAAGAGAAATTGATACACATACTTGAGGGTGAGTAAATTATGACAGAGTTTTCATGTTTGGGAGAACTATTCCTTTTATATAGGAAATATCCACTAAATCAAAGTGTCTGTGCTTTAAGCAAAACACAAAGGCATTTTATTTTAGTTTGATCAAAAGTTTGGGGTCGCTAAGACTTTTTTTCATGTTTTTGAAGTCTATTATACTCACCCAAGCTGCATTCATTTAAAAGAAAAAAAAAAAATACAGTAATTTTAATATTAAATACATTTTCAGCATCATTACTCCAGTCTTCAGTGTCACATGAGCCTTCAGAAATCTTTCTAATATGATGATTTGCTGCTCAAGAAACATTTCTGATTATTATCAATGTTGAAAATAGTGGCGCTGCTTAATATTTTTATGGAAACCATGATACATTTATTTTCAGCATTCTTTGAATAAGAGTAAAAAAAAACAGCATTTCTTTTTTGTAATATGTCTTTACTGTCACTTTTGATCAATATAATCTGAATAAAAGTATACATTTCTATTTTAATATTTCTGCTTAACTTTTTTTTGTTGTTGTAATAAATGTATGAAACCTCCATGAAAGCAAATGTTGGCCCTTGCATTTTGAACTCGATTTTTAAGATGTTCCTTCTCTTTCTACTTTTCATCATCTCTGGCATTTTTATTTCTCATTGACCCGTGATCAACACACACACATGCACGCCTCATGCATCCGCTTACTGGCTTTCTCTTTCAGCAGCTGGACCTGCTGCTTGAGGTATTCGATGAGCTGCTCAGCCTCCGCAGCCTTCTGTTCCAGTCTCATGAGTGAGGGTGTGTGGCCAGACATCCTGAAAAGAGATCGTCCCAGGAACCTGGAAAAACAAGCCAAAGGGAAAGATCAAACGCGGTAGGAACTCTTAGTCACTCATAAACATGCTAAAAAAAAAAGGATCCTCTGGGACATCCTATCTGTGCTTGGGAACATGCGGCACTCGAGAGAGCGTGACCTTTTTAAATGAGATCTTTCAGATCTTTGGCGCTCATAAACATGAGGTGTTTTGGCAAACTGTACACGGTGCTTTAATTTGTAATTTATACCGATATGTGGCCAACTTTCTGTCCTAATCCCCTTCCATGAAGGGGAATCATAATGAAACGTCTGACACCAGCCAGATGCTTAACAATAGATCGGCTAGACGCCAAACAACATGTGAAAACCTCATCAAAGAGTACATTCTCCACCCTATTCCCAGTGAACCCTATTTTGCATTCTCACTTCAGTACCATTAGATTTGACCATTTGAATCGCCAAGTTGAAGTTCGTCAACAACCACATTCCCGAACAAGGATGGAAATCAAGCCATGTGGCATCTAAATGTGTGTGTTCTCATGTCCACGAGGAGACAAATCCTGCACGATTGTGTCACTGTCCTCTCGGCCCCCGCCGCCACTATAAAAGCGTTTTGATTGAGGAATCCTCTTTGGTTCCGCAATGGATCAAACAACAATTCCCATTCAGTCAAAAGACAGCTGGTGAAGGAACATGGACACATTACACATTTGGCTTCGGCTCATCCACTGCAAAAGGACTAAGGGAATTTTTACAAGGCGTAGGAAAAGAGAAGAACACATCATAACACACAGTGCAGGGTGGTGCTGGAAAACAACAGCTGGCGCGGGATGAAAACAGAGAGTTCAGATGAGGAAATTAGAAACACAAAAAAGCTGGAGTTGATAATATCGTGGATCAAAGTCTCTTGTTTTTGAAGTTCTTGAACTGCTTTAAATGGGCCTGTGGTGGAAGAATTTATGAGCTCCATGACAGGACTGTTTTCATTTGCATAACCCCTGAAAACGAGTCCCGGGGCCGAGCCGGAGCCCAAAACACTTCCAAAAACATTTCCAAAAAGCTCGGTTGTCACCGGTTTCCCAATAATCTCCTTCAGCAGTGGTCACACCGGCATCGCATGACAGCCAATAAATGAGAATGTAAGCCATGCTTCCACGGATATAAAATTTGTGAAACGCAACACAGAAAAAGCACAAGGGCATCTGTGAAAGGAACCCTGAAAACATCAGTGCTCTTGAAGACATTTAAGGCCGTGTGTTACATCCGATACCAGTGAACACTTACAGGAGCAGCTGTCACATTCATGCCTGAATGGCGAGGAGATAACGACCACGCACTTGCGCCGCACATTAGTCAGCGTTTCCATTGGCCACCAGCCCCAGTCATATCGCAATAAAAACTTCATTCTCTGTTACCCATCTTTAAGAAGTACTAAACTTAACTATCGTAACTACTTGCAAGTTGCATCCCACAGGAATGATTCTATGTAGCCTAATAGTAATTGTCCCTGAAATAACTGCATATTAGAAACCCAAAACAACTTTAATTTATGATTTAATACAATTATTATTATATGCTTATTCAATTTATTTATTAAGTTTAAGGTTTGCAAAACCAACATATAATGCCCATTTTATGATAAAAGAACTGGAGTTCTGATTTATATACACATCCATGACACTTATTAAAGTTTACAACATCTCCTTGCTATAAGTCACTTCACTGATTTGTAAAGTAGGAAATGTTTTATGCAACTGGACTCTATTATGTTAAACAAGATAAAGGGGTTCAGTCATATATATGTGGCCTGCGCAAAACACTGTATAACCATGCAATATGATAAGAATAATAGGACACATTGCACTGTACATTTGCTAAATTAATTGCAATGGTTACACTTTATTTGAAGGTGCCCATGTTACAGTGTCATCATATATTTAAGTACTAAGTAATAATAATTAACTACATGTTCTTACTATAGGGGTAGGAGTGGTTTAGGGTTAGTTGCATAATAACTACATGTAACAGACACTGTAAAACAAAGTGTTACCATGTATTTTAACTGAAATGGTCGGATATACACAGAAAACACTTTTAAAAATACATTTTTATACGTTGACGTGTTCAGAACAGGTGAATAAACTGGTTTGACAGACCATATACTGCAAGTGAAAGTAAAGGCAGAGAGCAAGACAGAATTGTTCATGTCAAAGAACATTAGCGTAAATGTTAAGCTTACAAACACAGAGAGGAAATAACAATATATTTATGTTTATTACAGCTGTCATAAATTATGATAAACCAGTTTCACTTTTTTTTTTACCCTTCACAGCAGATGTCTACGCAAGGATGAACATTTAACCATAATGTGCCATAATATGATGTATTTATGAGTAGTGACATTCATACAGGAGGATCGTCATGACTGATGACATTATTGTCTTTTTATAGATACAGTGCTGCTGACTGTCACTTCACGTGTAAGTCCACACGCCATATTTGTACGTGTACAGCTCTATAACAGAGAGTTACATTCCTAATACATTACATAGACAAATAAACAAAACATTTATTCGTGCACTAGTACTCACATACAACTGCAACCGTATGTTTCTTTGCTATAAAGCCACACGCTACACACTCGTCTCTCACCGGCGTCGACGGGTGATGACGCCACCGGTCACGCGTCGTTCAGCTGTTCGCTGGCGCGGGATAAACACGCCACGCGCTTCAGCTGTTTACAGTGTCCGGAAGACTCCACCGATCTCTCAAAATCACAAATATATACCTGTAATATTATCAATGGACACGTGAATCAAATGGAGCAGTCTTTCATTTCAGATAAACAGGTATGCTGCTGATTTTATTTTGCGTTTGTAATTCACAGTTCAAAGCGCCAGCAAGCATGCAGAAATCCATGTGTGTACAGTGTATTTCAATTACATATCGTCAAATATTATTAGTTTAGTTTATGTTGTAATCATGTAAATGACAAAATATTATGCTATGCTGTAAAATGAAACATACACGTTTTACAGTTATGATTAATCTATGTTCTCCTGATGTATTAACTGTTGTAAGTAACTATTTATGTTGTATTTAAAAGGAAAACATTATCCTGACTGATTTCAGAAATGACAAAGTAATGTACGAATATCATTTAAAAGCATTCAGCGATATATAAGTGTATTCTGTGCTCTGTGTCAGTGTGTTTGTTGAGCATCAGGTGAGTCATGAAGCCCCTCAGAGATGCTGAACTCGGGGCCTCCACCTTCTTCGCTTCTCCTCTTCCTCATGATGTGTGTGGCAGCAATGGACTTCCTCTCACCCCAAACTCCATCAAGATCCTGGGACGCTTCCAGATCCTCAAGACCATCACCCATCCCAGACTGTGCCAATATGTGGACATCACCAGAGGGAAGCATGGTATGATCATGGCTTTCTTGCTTTAGTGCACTGTGTTTCTCTCAAATATTCCCAAATAAGACCATCCGTCGGTAAATAATAGTAAATACAGTTTATTTCACAGATATCACTTGAAAACAATGCGGCTACTCTCTTAGAATCTTTAAAAAATGTGTTGGCTTTTCTCAGAAGTGCTTGTTTTAGCAATAGTGTACCTTGTAAACCGTTGGTTTCATAATTGATGAACTTTGCAACATTGGCACTGTTATTAAACTGAATTGAGCTGCTTTATAACCTAAATTGAAGTCTTTTTATAATTGATAAACTTGCCATATTCACAGTTATTTTCCTGTTTACAACTGTAAAACTGCTTTGAAACAATCATTCTGTAGGATATAAAGCGCTATGTAAATAAAGTCATCCAATCATAATAGAGCTTTCCAGATCAAGAACGTTTTTTGTGCAAAATGTATCAGATTGTGGTAACACTTTACAAGAAGGTTTCATTTGTTAACGTTTAATGTATTAACTAACATGAACTAACCACGAGCAATACATTTGTTACAGTATTAATCGTTGTTAACGTTAGTTAATAAAATCCAGCTGTTCATGTTAGTTCACAGTGCATTAACTAATGTTAACAAAATACAACTTTTGATTTTAATAGTGTATTAGTAAATGTTGAAATTAACAAAGATTAATAAATGCTGTAGAAGTGCAGTTCATTATTAGTTCATGTTAACTAGTGTAGTTAACTAATGAAACCTTATTGTAAAATGTTACCCAGATTGTTGTCATATCTAGTTCGCTGTCTATTGGACATCCTTTTCTGCAGGTATTAAAATTAAAAGAAATATGTCATGGCACGTTTTTGCAAGTCATTAATGTTGAAATGTTTTCCATTTCCTTTTAATGCCTCATCAAGTCTGGTTTTGTTTTCTCGTGCTCTTCAGAGTTTTATTCTCTTTTATCCTAGTGATTTTTATCTCTGCGGTTTAATGGCATTATTCATGTGCGGGAATCCTTCTGCGAGAATGTCTCTTTTTATCTTTATTTGCTTTATGGCTGTTAGTTCAGTATTTATCATGCACAATGCACTTTGGTTCATGCATGTGTGTGCCCTATGAGATCGATGCATGTGTATGCAAACACATGTGTTTGAAGTCCTTATGACATTATGCAGATTTATTAGTGTTATAACTTTCTTTCATGTTTGAGAAATGACCTTGAATGCAGGTCATCATCTTGCTGGAGGGAATATTCATTTCTGAGGATATTGAAAATCAGTTTTTAAGTCTTTAGGGAATAAGTTTTTTTTCTTTTTCTTTTTTTTTTTTTCTTCACTGTGCTGATTAAAATGGGAATAGTAAACAAGAATCTTGTACGCTTCAGAGCAGTTGCAGTTGTAAAATAGATATTTTTTTAGATATTGTGACATTTCCTGGATGTTTTTTAGTTGCACACTTGCATGTTGAATATCTTTTCTTGTTGCACTCTTAAAAATCAAGGTACCAAAAGGTTTTTTTTGTGTGAAAGTGCAATAGAAGTTCTTGAAAGATTCTTTTTTTCTTAGCGTGAAGAACATTTTGCTAATCTAAAGACCCTTTTTCCACTTTAAAGAACCTTTTGTGCAATGGAAAGATTCCATGGATGTTAAAAGTTCTTCATGGAACTAGGGATGGCCCGATACCGATACTGGCATCGGGGATCGGGCCGATACTGTCCTAATATACTCGTACTCGTACTCATAAAAATTCGCCGATACCACGCACCGATACCACGTACATTTTGCAAAACGAAACTGGCCGCCGCGAGTGCTTTGTCGAGGTGAACTGAGGCATAGGAAAGTATAATGTCGGCGGTTTGGGCTCATTTCAAGATAAGGGATGATGACAACAGCAAGGCAGACTGTGAGTTATGTTCAGCTAAGGTGTCGAGAGGAGGGAAAGAAAGTACATCGTTTAACACCAGCAATCTAATTAAACATCTGAAGACGCATCATAGATCTGATGGCCGAGCGCGCGCGCGGGCGGTAATGCACTCACTCTGTGTGTGCGGGTTACGGGAGAATAAAATGATTCGCGGGACTCCCGCAAACTAGAAATATCTATGAATAAAACATAAAAACTAAAAGATTTTTATTCATCTCTTGCAGAAAAGCAACAAGAACAACTACAACAAAATAGAAACGATTTACAGGACAGAGTTTCTATTCATAACATGGTTACAGCGTTGAGCGATGTAGCCAATCACAGACATATGTGTTGATGTCTGGAACGCAATGGCCAATCAGAAGCATTTAAGATAGACTCCCCTCACCGCTCAAAACGGACTTTTTTGTTCAGTGCTGAATTCTGTATGCTGGCAAATCCTCTAATTATAACAAACAAAGTGTGGATATTATGAAAGATTGATTGTGCAGTCAGCTTCATTGATAATAACAGAGATGTGTGAGATCGCGATGAACTGTCAGCTTTTAGGATTTATTAAGGGATTTATATTCAGTCATGCCAGACCATGCACGCATAGCCTGCTTGCTTTTATGTTAAATTAACAGTGGTTTGTGTGTTAATACATTTATTATTTTACTAATTTTTATTTATTTTTAGACTTGTTAAAACAAGCAGAGAAGAAAATAAAAACAGTCTTCTAACCTGTGTTCTAAAATAGTCGTCTTCTTTTCTGGGAGCCTATTACTTTTGCGGTAGAAATATCGGTATCGGTACTCGGTATCGGCAAGTACACAAATGTAAATACTCGTACTCGTATCGGTTTGAAAAAAAATGGTATCGGGCCATCCCTACATGGAACCATCAATGCCTTTAGTTTTGGATGAGAGCTGAACTGAGACGACGATGACATCACTGTTGTCAGTAGAGCTTCTCTATAGCTGAATTAAACTCATTTCATCCATGAAATTTAGACGGTTATTGAACAGAACAGAATCAACACTGAACTGACTTCAGCTAAACAATGACACTTTCCTTTTAGAGCTGCTTTACAGCAGAATTGATGTTTGTTAGTTTGCATCATTAAATCACAATTTTCCTGTTTATCACTGTAAAGCTGCATTGAAACAATTTGTATTGAATAAAGCACTATATAAATGAAGGTGACTCTCTTTTTTTACACTGTACATGTTTCTCCTGCGCATACAACAACTACACATGTGTTGGCGAGCCAATTCCCCATCCTTATCAATAACGGCACAGTTAGCACACCCATGAACGGTAACCAAATTACCCAGTTTAAGGGGATAGTTCACCCTTAAGTTGTTCCAAACCTGTTTAAGTTTCTTTTGTCATTTGAACGCAACCAAACAGTTGACGGTAGCCATTGACTTTCACAGTATGGAAAAAATACAATGGCTCCCGTCAACTGTTTGATTTACAACATTCTTCAAAATATCTTCTTTTGTGTTCAACAGAAGAAAGAAACTCATACAGGTTTGGAACAACTTGAGGGTGAGTAAATGGGAGGGTCATTTTTGGGTGAACTATCCCAAAACACCAAAATAATCCTAAAAAAAATTCTCACGGTAACCTAATACAGCAGAGAATAGCAAGAAGGCATGTATTTCAGAGAATGTTTTTTGTTATCTTTGTGTTTGTTATCTTTGCAAGTACTTGCTTTAAACTCTTTGTTTTTTGTTATTTTGCAGAACGGCTGGTTATTGTTGCTGAGCACTATGAAAAAAGCCTAAAAGATCTTCTGAAGCAGGGGAAACCAGTCAGGTAACAATCAATACCAACTGAATAATGCACCTCGATGAACGCACACAAGTGTTCAAATGTTTGGGGTCATTTAAAACGTTTTTTTTTTCTTGATAGAAGTCTCATCAAGGCTGCTTTAATTTGATTAGAAATGGCCAAAGCCATTACTCCAATGTCTTCAGTGTCACATGATCTTTCAGAAATCATTCTAATATGCCTATTTGCTGCTCAAGAAACATTTATTATTATGCTATAATGAATTATTTGATGAATAGAAGGTTACAAAGAACAGCTTTTATTTGAAATATAAATCTTTTGTAACAATACTTTAATTCAGCATTTATTTGAAATAAAAAGTCAACATAAATGTCCAAACTGTCCCATGGTATTATCATTTGATGCTATCACTGGTGTTTTCTGAAAGGCATATTTGAACAGGTCATATTCTTCAGACTTCACTCAGGGACTAGGTTTTATCAGTTTTATCATTTTGAATCTGTTCCACATTATCAGGTTAAAAGACCCATTGGTATTTGTGGCAGAGCTTTTTTTGTTGTTGTTCTGAGATTCATTAGTGGTTTGTATCCTCTCATGTGGAAGCTATTGACACCGTTGTCAAATTCTTTATGTGGACACTTTTTGCAAAGCTTTTCTTTTTGTGACAGCATTTGATCATTGTTTGTGTTTTGGCTCACACTATTATATATAATAACAATATGATATATTTATATTGACACGATTGGGATCAGAGTTTAAGAAAATAATGAATGTTAATATAGCAAGTGTAAATTGGGCCAATGTGACAGCAGTTTAAACTTTTGCTATAGACTGAGCAAATGTTATACTAAAAATAACTGTAAAACAAGACGGGAGACAAAATAAACTGATTGAAACCAATAAAGCTTCACATTTTAGACAAAATCTAGACAATTTACAGTCAAACCGATCAGTCCAGGAATATTTCACTACTCCATTGAATAATCTATTCAGTATTTTCTTATATATACTGTAATGTATTCAATATATTATAGAATATTATGAACATGTTTTTCTTCATCCAGAACTTTCTATGAACTTTGTCTAATAGAAAAACATCAGTTTACACTACAGTACATAAGCACTTTATTCAAAACCCTGATTATAATCATTTATTAGTTTATGTGACCATCCTTATATTTTAATTCCATATTGCTGATTCAGAATAAAGTTTGATCTACTATTATCACATTGAATAATGCTGTTAGGATAACAAAAAGGTTTAAAAGTAAAATTTTTAGTCTGGTCTGCCTCATTGGTCTAACATTGTTCGTTAATGTCTAAATGATTGAGATGGCCAATCAAATCAAAGTAGGTGGGCTTTTCTTTTCACAGAAGCAGTGTGTGAATTCCAGCGCAAAACGTCAGTTTAACTGAAGATGTAAATGCATGTCAACTGTCAAAATGTTGACATACAGTAACATCCAGTGATGCAAACAATGTTAACATTAGTTAATGCATTGTGAACTAACATGAACATTTTTATTAACAAAGGATAATAAATTGCTCTGCGCATTGTTAGTTCAAAATAAACCTTATTGTAAAGTGCTGTGTCTTTCACTTTCAGCTCTTTTTTTTCATGCAGTATCAATAAGCACATAAATAGTTGTAAAAGCAGCATTCCTAGCTAAACCAGTGCTATATTTCTAATAACTGAACAGCTCAGAATGCTCATATTCTGCCATCTACTGTCTAAATCAGACTGTTTATTTTGAATGAATGGCACTTAAATGAATTCAAAGGGCATTATACAGTATTTTGCCATGCTATTTCTAATGTGTAGCATTGGATTATGCTTTTTATTTGACTTCACAGTGCCTCATTCAGCCTCATTCAACCTATGCCTCATGGCATAGGTTAACGTGTATATCCATAATTACTTGCATTTATATATTACTTGTATACATATTGAGTGATTGAATTTCAGTTTGACTTGATTGTGACACTGACATCAGTAGAAAATGAAAGCCCCTATTAAGTTTTTTGAGACACTCTAAAAATTGACTCATTTTCGGATGTTGTTGTCTCTCTCTTAGTCCAGAGATGGTGCTTCACGTTGCCTATGAAGTGCTAGAAGGTTTGGAGTTCATGAATGAACATGGGATGGTTCACCGCGCCTTGTCTCCCAACAATGTTCTCTTGGATCGTGAGGTATTTGGAATCACGGAAGTGTATGGAGTCATTGGCGTGCTGCATGATGTAAAAAAAAAAAAATCTGGGGATTGACCAAGTGTTCAAAACAGTTTAATTTTAATTTAATTTAATTTAATTTAATTTAATTTAATTTAATTTTATTTAATTTTATTTTATTTTATTTTATTTTTTATTTTATTTTATTTTATTTTTAATTTTATTTTTAATTTTATTTTTTATTTTATTTTTAATTTTATTTTTAATTTATTTTTAATTTATTTTTAATTTATTTATTTAAAAAATATATTTTTTTATTTTTATTTAATTTTAATTTTTTATTTTTATTTATTTGTTACTATTTATTAAAAAAAAAAAATATATATATATATAATTCTAACCTGTAATTATTGTTGCTCAAAAATGTAATAATAAAATTCATAGCTGTAGTATAAGAGCTTTATAAATAAACGGATAATTCTGATAAACTTAAAACAGTGTACCCAACAGATATTACCAATATGATGAAGTTTGTCAGAACGATCAGTTTCTTATTGATACCATACTTTGTCTTGCTTTCAACTCACTGTTTTCATGGAATGAAATGTTCTTTTACAAACTCAACAGGGTAAAGTGAAGTTGGCCAAATTTGGCCTGTATCATATGACCGACCACGGAGCAGATGTTGACTTCCCTATTGGGTACGTCATTCAGCTATAATGTTTTCCATTTGTTTCCTGCTGTATCCTCATATTCATCAAAATGAAACTCACGTGCTTTGGTCGGTGTCTATATAAGGGTACAGATAACATCTCGGCATCATTATAGCAGAGCAGAGAGTCAAGGCGAGCTTTAAATCTTGTCCGCCGTCTCTTTAAGATGCATTGTGGCTCTGAACCGAAGCGCCTGCTTTTCATGAAAAAAAAGATCAATGGGTCACGCTGTGCTCTCATAATAAAGAAAGATGAACTAACATTAGATGTGCATCATTGTGGCTCATCTTTGTTTTGATCAAAAGCAGATCCTGGATATCAAAGCGGCTTCCTTATGTGGCATCTGAGTGGCACGACCAGGAGCCCTCATGTTCTCTAAGGGGGCTGTCTTATAATATCCGGTTGTGATTTGGGTTTTGCGGGACACTTCTTTTGTTATCTGGCATCACAAGGACCACATCTGCTCTCTGTGAGACCTTTCCAGCAACCGTGTCGTCTATTCCTCTCTGTTTTCGTAGGTATCCATCTTACCTGCCTCCAGAGGTTATTGCTCAAGGCTGTCTGTATTCCAGCGACCCCTCGATCATTGAGGCCCCGCTTCCTTCAGGGCCCAAAACAGACGTTTGGTCTCTCGGGGTGCTTCTGTTTGAACTCTGTGTGGTACGCTCTCAGAGTTTTCATACATTCAGCTCAACAAGGACTAAACTGAATTTTACATTAATGCAAATCATTTGTTTTTTACCCCCCAGGATATGAATAATTTACGTTGTTGCATATATTAGATATGCTTTATAAACTTAGTTTTTCTCAGGTTTTACTTACAGTTTACATATTTATGTATGTTACTTTTCCCCTAAAATAATCCACTGAATTTAAATGTTGTTGATTTCAAAATGTCCTGAAAGGCTTTTTTTAATAAACTGTTTAAATACACTGAATACTAGACAGGCAGATAGACAGACAGGCAGGCAGATAGACAGGCAGATAGACAGGCAGACAGACAGACAGACAGACAGACAGGCAAAAAGACAGGCAGATAGACAGACAGACAGACAGACAGGCAAAAAGACAGACAGAAAGACAGGCAGATAGATAGGTAGATAGACAGGCAGACAGACAGATAGATAGACAGGTAGATAGACAGACAGGCAGGCAGATAGGCAGACAGACAGACAGACAGACAGAGACAGACAGACAGACAGACAGATAGATAGACAGACAGACAGACAGACAGAGACAGACATACAGGCAAAAAGACAGGCAGATAGACTGATAGACAGGCAGACAGATTGGCAGACAGATAGAGAGACAGACAGACAGGCAGATAGATAGGCAGACAGGCACATAGACAGGCAGACAGACAGATAGATAGGCAGACAGGCAGATAGACAGATAGATAGACAGGCAGATAGACAGACAGACAGGCAGAAAGACAGGCAGACAGACAGATAGATAGACAGGCAGACAGACAGGCAGGCAGACAGGCAGGCAGGCAGGCAGGCAGACAGACAGACAGGCAGATAGACAGGCAGACAGACAGATAGATAGACTGACAGACAGGCAGACAGACAGACAGATAGATAGACTGACAGACAGGCAGATAGATAGATAGAGAGGCAGACAGATAGACAGACATACAGCCAGATAGATAGATAGATAGATGGATGGATGGATGGACGGACAGACAGACAGACAGACAGGCAGGCAGACAGACAGACAGGCAGGCAGACAGACAGATAGACAGGCAGACAGACAGATAGATAGACTGACAGACAGGCAGACAGACAGATAGATAGACTGACAGACAGACAGGCAGACAGACAGACAGGCAGGCAGACCGATAGATAGACAGACAGACAGGCAGACAGACAGGCAGGCAGACAGACAGACAGGCAGATAGACAGGCAGACAGACAGATAGATAGGCAGACAGACAGATAGATAGACTGACAGACAGGCAGACAGACAGATAGATAGGCAGACAGACAGATAGATAGACTGACAGACAGGCAGATAGATAGATAGATAGATGGATGGATGGATGGACGGACAGACAGACAGATAGAGAGATAAATCTATCGATCGAAGTCTATAGGACTTTCCAGAGTTTTTATAGTCCATTTTAGGAAAACCATAAATTCGATCAGTTTTCTCAACCCAACATAAAATGGTGATTGATATAGTTTCCGGCTCATTTATCCCACAGGAAGTACAAGGTCAAGTCGAGCACATGGCATTGTGGTATATAGTTTGTATTACAGTCAGTATGCTCTATCTATTGTATACTGCACTTTTTGGCACTTGTAATAGGGAGTAGAACATTTGCTTACTGCAGAATTATTAACTTTCATTGGTCAGTTTCACGAGTTTTTAACTGTGACCACAAAGATTCTATAACATTTGCTATCATGTGACTTGTTTTGTCCAATAGGGAAGGCAGATTCTGCAGAACATTGATATTAGTGAGAGAATGAAATTCATCATCACCTTAGGTGAGTTCATGTTTACATTACACTATTTATGTATTCACATCACATTATTTGCACATAATCTGTTGTAATGAATTTCACCATTGGAATATCTCTGAATTTTAGTTTTTTTTTTTTTTTGCATCTTATTGTCTACAGGATGCATGGACGACATAATCACTGTTCTTGCTGAGGAACACGGGTGCTTGGATACTGTTAAGGTAAGTTTGCTCGTATTTATGGATAGTCTTTTATCTTTGTACTTTACCTTTCATACAAAGATAGATCTAGATTTGATTTTTTTTTTTTTTTTTCTAATCCTTTTATTTCAGAAAAGTACACAATAAGTATCACAGTAAGATGTGGTTTATCTTAGTGCTTTCATCTTAAAGGGATTTTACTTTAAAAGGTTTACTTTGAAACCTCTCAGATAAACTCTTCTTAGCTTGACACTGAGCGCGCACTGGTCGTATGGCTAATGTATTCCAAATGTCCTCATAAAACCTCACTTTGAGTGGGGTTTATAGCATGAATGACAGAAAGTGCTGATTTATCAGAGTTTTGCTGGGTTTGATGCTTTACTAATATTCTTGTCTCTGACTTTTTTCCCCAGGATCTGCCTGAAAATGTGCAGGCTTTATTGAGGAAATGCCTGACGTTTCTCCCTTCAAAAAGGTAGCCTGTCCACATCCTTTATCATTTCTTTATTGAAAAAACAACAACAAAAAAACCCTCTCTCATCTTCCAAAGCTTGGCAGTATGTCATTATTCCATGAAATCTCGTATCTCTTTTTAATTCTTGAACAAATACAAGGACTGTCTTGTTAGCGGTTATTCTTATAAATGACATAAAATGGCATTTTATTATTTTACTTATTTCTTAGTGATGGGTAATCTTGTTATAAAAACAAAAATATATTTTTCATTTGATACTCAAATGTGCATATAAATTGAATAAATATAAATAATAATAATTATATAAAAAAAAAAAAATTTTTTTTTATATAATTATATATATTTTTTAAAGGCACACCGCGGAACTTTTGGCCACTAGTGGCGCTCGACCTGTAACTTTCACGTCTAGCGTCCCTAGAGGCCACAAGCTCCGCAGCACTGTCGCAAAAGTCAACCGGTCAGCCCATAGACAGTGGGTCAGCCTCCCGTGTCTTTAGATTGTGTGTGCTTGCAGTGTTTGAGGTGGGCAGCCTTGCCGCGCTCGATTCCCTTATAGCAGTCTGCTGAGAGAGAGCGAGCGGGGCGAGCCCCGTGGGGCTTAGTGCTGACATGTCTGTGAGTGAATGTGGGCGCGGGACGGCGGGCACATTTACTGCACTAAAAACACCGTCGGCCTGAGCTGACTGTAACTTATGTGTGTTGGGTTCGTTTTACAGAAACCGTGGGACATGTTGTGTGTAGTGTTTGTGGGCACTGAGTCGTGGGCACGTTCACTAACGTTACATTTAATGTACATTTGACATGAGTCGACTTTATTTGTGCGAGCCCTGCACTGTGGCGGGCTGTGTTTGTGTGTAGAAATGAACAATGGGCTGTGGGCATTTTATTACACTCATAACACCATCGGCTGTGGCCGGAATACCAGAAAATACTACACTACTTATATGATTTATCTGGGTCACCTTGGAAACGGCATTTGCGTGCAGGCAAGCGTCAGCATCGGTCGGGCACCCCTCCTCCTCCTGTAGCTCACGCCAGCGAGCGAACGCTGGACCAATGGTGATCCTCGTCCTGGCTTTTCATTTGTCACTATGCCTTTTTCTTTTAGTGTCCTCTGACAAAACCATTGCCTTCTTCCTTGTAGCTGTTGGTTCGGCCATGACGAAAACATAAAATATACAGACGGCAACGGCAATCAAACGAGAGTTGAGCACTCACGTCAGAATCTGAGGAAGTTGTGGGTGGTGGGGGAAGTGACGTATGCCGTATAGCGGTCGAATTTTGTAGTTCTTTTTGTGCTCGGGTTCCTACCCGAAACCCGAAGTTACATAGTGCTAGGAAAAGCGATACAGACACCTTCAGGCTACGGCAGACATTCAACCTATTGTAAGTCGATGTACCATCTCAATGGGTTTTGGTAATATATTATAAAGGTTGAAAAGTTCCACAGTGTGCCTTTAATACTCTATTTGAGATTTTAACCATAGTTACAATAATTTTTACAATGAAGATGCAAAAATTATGAACAAGTTTTAATAAATACTCAATATCCTGTCCCCATCCCTACCTAAACAACATGGCAATAAATAGAACTGAGTCAATATACCGTCTATAAGTGATCAGTATAAAAATAATGACAAGAATACAGATTTACAGGACAATTAATAATAATACTAATATATATATTAGGCACCAATATGATCATTTTGGCTGATACCGATAACCGATAATTCTTTATATTTGGATGCCGATAACCGATATTGACCGATAAATCTAAATCAAAAGTTTTATGTAATGTGAGAGCCTGATTACAAAGAAAGTCACACCATTAAATTGTTCTCATTATAATTTTATGTAGCCTATATGACAGATTGCGCTGCACATGTTGCACATAACTGTATTTTCCTTTTTTAAGTAATTCCAATCATATCAAATATATATACACTCACCTAAAGGATTATTAGGAACACCTGTTCAATTTCTCATTAATGCAATTATCTAATCAACCAATCACATGGCAGTTGCTTCAATGCATTTAGGGGTATGGTCCTGGTCAAGACAATCTCCTGAACTCCAAACTGACTGTCAGAATGGGAAAGAAAGGTGATTTAAGCAATTTTGAGCGTGGCATGGTTGTTGGTGCCAGACGGGCCGGTCTGAGTATTTCACAATCTGCTCAGTTACTGGGATTTTCACGCACAGCCATTTACAAAGTTTACAAAGAATGGTGTGAAAAGGGAAAAACATCCAGTATGCGGCAGTCCTGTGGGCGAAAATGCCTTGTTGATGCTAGAGGTCAGAGGAGAATGGGCCGACTGATTCAAGCTGATAGAAGAGCAACTTTGACTGAAATAACCACTCGTTACAACCGAGGTATGCAGCAAAGCATTTGTGAAGCCACAACACGCACAACCTTGAGGCGGATGGGCTACAACAGCAGAAGACTCCACCGGGTACCACTCATCTCCACTACAAATAGGAAAAAGAGGCTACAATTTGCAAGAGCTCACCAAAATTGGACAGTTGAAGACTGGAAAAATGTTGCCTGGTCTGATGAGTCTCGATTTCTGTTGAGACATTCAGATGGTAGAGTCAGAATTTGGCGTAAACAGAATGAGAACATGGATCCATCATGCCTTGTTACCACTGTGCAGGCTGGTGGTGGTGGTGTAATGGTGTGGGGGATGTTTTTCTGGCACACTTTAGGCCCCTTAGTGCCAATTGGGCATCGTTTAAATGCCACGGCCTACCTGAGCATTGTTTCTGACCATGTCCATCCCTTTATGGCCACCATGTACCCATCCTCTGATGGCTACTTCCAGCAGGATAATGCACCATGTCACAAAGCTCAAATCATTTCAAATTGGTTTCTTGAACATGACAATGAGTTCACTGTACTAAAATGGCCCCCACAGTCACCAGATCTCAACCCAATAGAGCATCTTTGGGATGTGGTGGAACAGGAGCTTCGTGCCCTGGATGTGCATCCCACAAATCTCCATCAACTGCAAGATGCTATCCTATCAATATGGGCCAACATTTCTAAAGAATGCTTTCAGCACCTTGTTGAATCAATGCCACGTAGAATTAAGGCAGTTCTGAAGGCGAAAGGGGGTCAAACACAGTATTAGTATGGTGTTCCTAATAATCCTTTAGGTGAGTGTATATATAGCTATATATGTGTGTGTGGTTATTTATTGTATGTTTATTTATTTTGTGAATGTTAAACATGATATATTTCACAAAGCCCTAGTTGTTTGCTTTGGTCTAATTGAATCGTGATGTTACTGGAAGTGATTTGCTATCTATTAATTATGAATAGATATGTGAATAAACAGAGCAGGGCAAACTTATGCTTAGTTAATATTAATAATTAGTGTCTTCACTAATTGTTCCTGTCTTTTCAGAGCCACCCCAGCCGAGCTTCTGGGAGACTCTGTGTTTGAGAGCATGTCCTGTCAGTACACACCCTACCAGTGCCCCGTGCGTCTGTTCGCTGCCGCCCCGCGCTGTGCTCATCTGGAGCTTCCTGAGGACATCAGCGAACTCTGCAAAGGTTCGGCTCAACAGGACTCGCACTAGAGAAAAATGTTGAAAAAATGACTATAAAAAGTAAATGCTACAATTAATGACTGTTCCGCTGTGTTGTGTAGATGATGGAGAGAACTACCTGGTAGAGAGAGGCATAGATGAGGTGTATCACCTGTGGTGTCTGGCAGGAGGAGACCTAGAGAAAGAGCTGACCAATCAAGAGATCATCCAGTCAAAACCTCCCGCCTGCACCCTTCCCAAGTACCCACACAGCTCTGATCCATCATTTACCATTAGCATCACAGCTTTACCATTATTTCAAGCCGTTTGCAGTCGGCTAACTTGTTACCATTGTCGAATGTGTTTGTTCTTTAGGTTCATTTTAGAGGACGGCGAGTCTTTTGGTCAAGGCCGGGACAGAAGTTTCCTACTGGATGACACAACTGTGACACTTTCTCTTTATCAGCTCAAAAATGTTAGTGTGTTTGCTCGTATGGGCCATCAAATGTTTAAAAAAAAAATGACTATATATTCTTTTAACCCCTTAACTGTCACCTGCCCGTATACGGGCAACCTAAATTTACTTCACTATATTACTATTAAATCCTAATCTAGTCATGACAAACTATATATCGTTGGAAAGGTCTAAGACTCCTTAAAGTCCCTGTAAAGGCAATTTTAACAAAACATTCTAAACACATTCTAAAGGTTAGAAATGTATTGCTAAAACATATTACAAAGACTGTGAACTGTGAAGTACTGAATTGTGGAGTTAGACCGTTAAACAGTTTTTCACCCTGGCAATTTCACGGATTTTTTGGGCGGGTCTAAAACAGGGCTCGATGACGCACTGGAGCTCTTGGACACGCCCCTACTCGATGACGCACTGATACTGATCCCTCTAACAATATAAATAGAGCACATTCGCATCAGTTTGGCGCTCATTTGCGAGTTACTGTCTGTCAGTACTATTATCAGTTACTACAGCCTACAGTTTGCTATCTAGCCATGCCTTCGTCACGGAAATGCGTACTACTTGGATGCAATCATTTGCAAAACAGATCGGTGTCCTTGTTTAAATTTCCTAAAAACGACGACATCAAGAAGAGGTGGATTAATTTTGTGAAGAGCCACCTTGATGGAGAGCTGAGGATCACCAGCCAAACCCGCCTCTGTAGTGATCATTTTACTCGTGATAGTTTTATAAACTTTCGTCGGAGACAACTGGGATTCACAGATAATCCGTTGTTACTGGTGAAAGGTGCCGCACCGACTATCTCTCGCCTCGGCCTTCATCCTCCCGTCCCGCCGACAACTGGCGCCATCATCGGCAATGCGTGCCCACCAATGAGTGTAAGTTGCCTTGTGTGCTTGTTATAATTATAGTAGGTAGTCCACTGTAACTACTAAATTCTGCAACCCTCTAACGTGATTTTTATTTAACGTTATATGATCAAAATTCCTTAGCCAAGTAATTTAAACTAGTATCTGTTCACAAAGCAGTCCCTTATCTAATGGATTTATGCACATCAATTTATCGTTAATATAACAACCATGATGGCTATTAGTTTGATCTATAACTATAAAGTGTAAATATATTTTTTAATCAGTTGTTTATTGCTAGTCTAACTTAGTTTGATCTATAACTATAAGGTGTAAAAATATGTTGTTTTTTTCTGTTATTTATTGCTAGTCTAACTTTATTTGTCTAAGTTAGGTTAAGCTAGTTAACGTTTACTTACATATAACTTAGCTAACTTGCATAAAAGGGAGAGAAAAAATTTACCATTCTGTTGCAGAGCGAGGGGGACGATGTTGACTTCCTTGGTCAATGTCTTCTGAATCGGATTCAGGCTCTGGAGGCTCAAACAAATATGGCTTGGTATAACCTAATAAGCTGCTAGGAGCATCCATTTCGGCTGTAGCGGGTCCCGTCGAGTGCAGCTTTCCCGCGAGTGGGCGTGGTTTCAGCGCAGCCAGCGGACACGCCCCCAGCGTTTGAGAGCAGAGAAAACTGCTCATTTTTTCAAGATTTTGATAGCTTATTTTATGTACTTGCCGGCTTTTTTTATCATTCAAATTTGGCTGGGTGGCTAATTACACATTTTTCTGTGGTGTGACAAACTCAGAACACATACTTAATTTTGACTTTACGGGGACTTTAATAGATATTTTAGTGCTGTTTTTTTCTTACAAATTATGTATGAACAGTAATATATGAATTTATGACAAGAGTGCGCCTCAAAAAATCGACGTCATTACAGAAGTTTCTGACCTTTGTCACAAAAAGTTGACGCACACACTTTTAATAATTGAAACTTTGGTTTTTAATGCTAAAAGTTCATAATAAAACATAATCTAGTATTTGTCAATAAAAAAAAGTTAAAATTATATTTTAAAAAGTAAAGTAAAAAGTCCTCTAAAAAGTATAATATATATATTATATATATATATATATATATATATATATATATATATATATATATAATTTTTTATTATATCACATATTTTAGTAGTTATCATAAATTAGGTATCATTTGAAAGCTTACGAACTCAGAATTCATCCTGTGAAAACCGTTTTGAAATTGGACATTGCATTACCATAGAAACGGTATTTTTTTATTAGGCCCCTCCCCTTTTGGGCATCATCTTTCATAATTTATTATCAAAAATGTTCTAATCTTGACAAAACACATATTGTCAGAAAGGTCTGAGTCTCAAGGTTCCATATTTAGTGACAGAAGTGATATTTGGATAGAAATGTATTAATTTGTTATGGCAGAATGCATACAATTAAATTCAATGGAATGCAATGGCACCCGGTGGCTATTTTTGGTATTACGCCTAAACAAAATCTCATGGGAACTTCAATGTTTGTGATATCAACTTCAAATTTGGAACACAACTTGGTTAGATATATGGCTTTGACTTTCTGTCATTTTTAGGCTGAAACCTATATTAATTTATATATATTTGTAATAATAGAAAAATATATATTTTATTATATTTTCATAACAATAAACTTAAACTTCAATAACTTTTAAATAATTGAATTCTATTAATTTATTCCACTTCAACAATAATCTGCCAAGAGTCTTCTTTTAAAAGAGACCAACCGTAAGTCTTTAGTCCAAAGGCTTCATGAATTACAACCGTTTAAGTTTGGGTAGTGCATTTTCACGTCAACGCTCAAAAAGGGGGGTGACAGCTAAACCTTTTTTTTTTCTTTTTCTAAAGCTACTTTTTGTATTTGATGCTTTTCTCACTTAACACAATAATGACTTTACATTATCTTTTGGGGGATATTTCTTAAGTCTTGCCAAATTTGATGTGCGATTATTTTGAATAATTTATCGCCACATTGTGTAATTAATTAGATAAAGAAATGTAATCGCTTGACAGCCCTAATATAGATATCTATATGTGAAATATATGCATCTAAACAGATTGTAAAATAGGCACTATGATTATATACTGGTCTAAATAACTACATTTTTGCCTAAAAAACTCTTAAAACGACATTTCGTGACACAACAACAGTAGTATTTTTACAAAATATGGTGGATTTGCTCGACCACCATGATAGTCGCCGCAAGCGGAGTGATACAAGTGGTGAAACGGTTCCAGCTCTGATACTGGGTGAATATCGCACGGCTGGAAAAGGTTCTCAGCCAATCAGATCCAAGAACCAGAAAAAAATGTTGTATAAATGTATATATACATATATTAATTATATGGTTAATTTTAAAGTAACAAAAACTTACATACATTTGAAAAATTTCTTCTTACAAATTTGGTTGTTGAAGTTGTTAAAAGTTTTGAAACTAAATCGGGACAATATTGGTGCCCCAAAAATGATGTAATTTGACCTGTTGAAACACTTGTGATCTGTCATTGTAGAGGCTGAAGGATGTTGCTGGAGAGACGTTCTATCCGTTATTGGAAGATGAGTAAGAAATGTTCTCTTGTTCATTATCTCTCAGCTTGTGTTCAGTATTCTGGTGTGTTTGGCAGCAGTCGGTGTGTGTCTGATGGAACAGAAATGTCCCGTGTGTCCCGTGTGTCCCGCAGGCAGTCCAGCCTGCCTCAGTCTAACGGCAGTAATGAACTGTCTGCCACCATCACACTGCCCCTCATTATCCGGGAGAGAGATACCGAGTACCAGCTCACCCGCATTGTCCTCTTCGACAGGCTGCTCAAGGTCCTTTACACACACACACAGTTTCTGAAAATGACCATATAAGAATAGCTGATGAAATCACCTCATAATGGATGTCCACCCACAGGAAAGATGGTTCATAAAGATTCTAAATGATGTGCTTTTTTTTTTTCATCTAAAAATGTAAAAAGTAGTTTTTTGAGGTTAGTTTTAGGGTTTGGGTTATTGACATTTTCAGCAAAAACAGTCATTAATGTTGATTTTTTTTTTTTTTTTGTCCTTTTGAAACCTTTTTTAGTTTGATGATAGCTGAACCTTTTGTGTTGAGTAATAATTCATAGTAATAGACTTCATCAGCTCGTGGATTGAGCTTTAACACTGCTGCTGTTACTATAAAATAAGTTTACTGTAAAAAATCAATAAATTATTAAGTAAGTGCAGGCAGCAAAACTACCATGATGAACAAATATTTTACTGTTTAAATAACTCGCTTTACTATTTTTAACTTCAGGATGTTATTTTTTATGAAAATGAAACACATTTTCTCCCCCAGAAATCTCATTATTCTAATGCATTCAGAGTTGTTTTAAAATCCCCCATCTTTCTTTCTTTCTTTCCATCTTTCTTTCCTTCTTTCTTTTCTTTCCTTCTTTTTTCTCTTTCTTTCTTTCCATCTTTCCTTCTTTCTTTCTTTCCATCTTTCTTTCCTTCTTTCTTTTCTTTCTTTCCTTCTTTCTTTCTTTCCATCTTTCTTTCCTTCTTTCTTTCTTTCTTTCTTTCCATCTTTCTTTCCTCCTTTCTTTCCTTCTTTCTTTCTTTCTTTCCATCTTTCTTTCCTTCTTTCTTTTCTTTCTTTCCTTCTTTCTTTCTTTCTTTCTTTCTTTCCATCTTTCTTTCTTTCTTTCTTCCTTTCTTTCTTTCCATCTTTCTTTCCTCCTTTCTTTCCTTCTTTCTTTCCATCTTTCTTTCCATCTTTCTTTCTTTCTTTCTTTCCATCTTTCTTTCCTCCTTTCTTTCCTTCTTTCTTTCCATCTTTCTTTCCATCTTTCTTTCTTTCCTTCTTTTTTCTCTTTCTTTCTTTCCTTCTTGCTTTCCTTCTTTCTTTCTTTCTTTCTTTCTTTATTTCCATCTTTATTTCTTTCTTTCCTTATTTTTTCTATCTTTCTTTCATTCTTTCTTTCCATCTTTCTTTCCTCCTTTCTTTCCTTCTTTCTTTCCATCTTTCTTTCCATCTTTCTTTCTTTCCTTCTTTTTTCTCTTTCTTTCTTTCCTTCTTGCTTTCCTTCTTTCTTTCTTTCTTTCTTTATTTCCATCTTTATTTCTTTCTTTCCTTATTTTTTCTATCTTTCTTTCATTCTTTCTTTCCATCTTTCTTTCTTTCTTTCTTTCTTCCTTTCTTTCTTTCTTTCTTTCTTTCTTTCTTTCTTTCTTTCTTTCTTTCTTTCCTTTTTTCTTTTCTTTCTTTCTTTCTTTCTTTCCTTCTTTCTTTCCTTTTTTTCTATCTTTCTTTCCTTCTTTCTTTCTTTCCTTCTTTCTTTCTTTCTTTCTTTCTTTCTTTCCTTCTTTTCGTTCCTTCTTTCTTTCTTTCTTTCTTTCTTTCTTTCTTTCTTTCTTTCTTTCCTTCTTTCTTTCCATCTTTCTTTCCTTCTTTCTTTCCTTCCTTCTTTCTTTCTTTCTTTCTTTCTTTCACGACAGATCTTATGAGATTCCCTGGTGTAAAAATGAAATAAATAATTTGCGTTAATTTTTTTTAGGCGTACCCCTACAAGAAGAACCAGGTGTGGAGGGAGGCGAGGGTTGATATTCCTCCTCTTCTGAGGGGTCTGGCCTGGGCAGCCTTACTAGGAGTGGAGGTACCAACAAATACTGCATTTTACACCAAGGAACCGTTTTACGACCTTTTCAACAGGGAACTTTTGATTTCTTTTGAGTCAAATGAAAATGTTGATGCATTTGCAGACTAAAAAGCATGCTTGGCATTTTTTGGTCATTAATGGACTATTGATTCCTGTGTTTGCATTATGTGTACAATCAAATGTCGACATAAATTCAATGCACATTTCGCTTTTAAGCAATGACCTTTTCCATTGTATTAGTAAACATGCCTTTTAGTGCAACACTCCTATTTTTATTCCCACATTCAAATCCGTGTATATAACTCCCACAGGGGGATATCCAATCGAAATATGACGGCATCGATAAGGACACGCCCATCCCCACTGATAGACAGGTGAGAATCACTTCCATGTGTTTGATAGTCTTTGCGCTGATTGAGGTTATTGAAAAACTGAATAATTCATCAGCCTGTTGAATAATTCACTTTGTTTGCGGAGTTCCTGTCTTCACCTTTAAGCCCGGTTAAGATTTGACTATTCACTGCTGAATATTTCAAGCGATCCAGGAGCAAACAGCGCTGACGGAGACATGTCGTGCCCACCTCATCTGACTTCATTTAAGACTGCAGCTTTTATGCATTAGAAGCTTTAGACGTTTGTTATCATTTGTGACACAGATTGAAGTGGACATCCCTCGCTGTCACCAGTACGATGAGCTGTTGTCGTCACCTCAGGGTCACGTCAAGTTTCGGCGGGTGCTCAAGGCCTGGGTGGTGTCTCATCCTGATCTGGTGTACTGGCAAGGTGATGGAGCAATAGTTGGGTGGGGTTTCTTCTTTCTGACACTAGATGGCAGCAAAGCCTTTGTAACAGGCATCTTTACGTTCTGGTGGCCTTAAAGTTCTTACTATCTGATAAAGATAACAGATCAAATCAAGTGTGTGCGCTGATGTGATTTATTAATGTCCGTGCGGGTGAGTCTCATAACCTGTGAAGAACATCTCTGGGTCATATTTCACCCTAATGCAAGGAAAAATAATCAGAAATGATCATTTCCATATTTTTAATATAATGATAATCAAGCTGATTTTAGGACCATCAGGTGTTTTTCATTGTGGCATTTATTATCATTACAATTAAGCAGATCCCCCCCCCCCCCCCCCATATATGCACATATACACACACACACACACACACACACATACACACACACACACACACACACACACATATATATATAATATATATATATTTTTTATTTTATTTTTTTATTTTTTAGGGTGAAATATGGCCCTGGCATGTTTTTGACAGGTCTAATGAGATTCCTTTTATTTATGTGTTGATGACTCTCATTTGATGTTTTTTTTTGGCTTTAGGCTTGGATTCGCTTTGCGCTCCTTTCCTGTATCTAAACTTCAACAACGAAGGTAAGATTTCTGAGTGACAGTTTACAATGAGGTCCATTAGTTAATGTTTGTTAATGTATGAACTGTCATTAACTAATAATGAGCATTACATTTGTTAACTGTTTATTAATTTTTGTTTACCTTAGTTGTTCATTGTTAGCTCAGGTCCATTAAATAATATTACCAAATACAACTTTTGATTTTAATAATGTGTTAGTAAATGTTGAAATTAAAAATGAACTAATATTAATAAATGCTTTCGAATTATGTTTCATTGTTAGTTCATGGTAACCTATGTGTGTTACCCATTTATGGCCATATTATTATTTTTTTAAACATACTTCCTGATATTAGTCTAAAAATATATATTTTTCTCCTAGCTCTTGCATATGCATGCATGTCAGCCTTCATCCCCAAATATCTGTACAATTTCTTCCTGAAGGACAACTCGCATGTAATACAAGGTAATGTGATTTTTCCGTCCCACCATGAAGAATGTGACTACAGTTCTGGATTGAGAGCATGTGATTTACAGTGCAAAATTGATCAACTTACACGACGTGTGTGTGATGTTTGCAGCTGTTTCTTAAGAACCCTTTAAGACACTACAGTGATTACTGCCATAAACACTCAAAAGATTTCTGTAGCTTGACATTTGGGCATGTTTGCTGTTGAGTTTTGCTAGCTCAGCTGTCAGCACTTCAGCAGCAGAATTGCTTTGTTTTGCTCTCTGACTGAGCTTTGCGCAAAGTGTTTGTCCTGCCATGGGTATAATGTGGTAAAAGTGTTTCTGGCTGAAGTACAAACGCCTGAATGCTCGTATCCTTTACTTCTCCAGAATATCTGACGGTCTTCTCGCAGATGATTGCGTTCCACGACCCTGAGCTCGGCAACCACCTGAACGAGATCGGATTCATACCTGATGTAAGTGTCCTCCTCAAAAACAACATGAAATCACGTTCAAATCAAATCAAAACTCACCCTATATTTACTATATTAGTGTTACATGCCCAATGAGATCAGTATTTTGATTTTGTGGCTTTTAGTTCATTCCTGTTAGCTTTGAGTGTCATCTCTAAGCTAGTTTTCTCCTAAAAGAAGTGTTTCCATTGGGAGAGCGAAAAAGTAATGGGCAGTATTGTGTATAAAATGTAATTTGAGTATTGTGTAATATTCAGCAACTTTAACTTCGTATTGAACTGGTTAGAAATTTGTACAAATCCACGACCCTAAATATAAGCTATAGTAATGAGTGATTTTTATAATTTTTTTATTTTTTATTTAGAAGATAGTAGTAGTTTGGTTATTCATTTATTTAAAATAAACAATAATATATTTATTTTAATAATAATAATAATAAAAATGTAATTATTTTATTATAATAATTGTTGTACTTGTAATAATGATATTCTATTTTTATTAAAATCTTACTGAACTATTCCTTTTACTACTAAATTATTACTACTTAATAAAATGTAATAATTTAATTTTATCAACAATTTTCGATCATAATATTAATATGAATAATAAAAAATTTAATAAAATTGTATCTTCTTTTTTCTAATTTATTTAGTTTTAGTAACTTTGAGTCTATATGTCCACTTTATATATAATTGTCTCGTACTAGAATTTCTAACAGCAGAAAGGCTTTCTGATTACGTATGTTTTTTTTTTAGGGTTCGTACAGTCATGAAAAACCTAGAAAAGTCCTGGAAATTAGTTTCACAAATATCTATATAATAAAATATGTTTAATTCATAACATTGGTTAAACTAATTCAAATACTTAATGTCCGTCACGTGACGTTATGTTCTCTGTTGTTCTCTCTCTGGCAAGCTTGTACTTATTTTGTAAGTACGGTTAGTACGGCTGAACGGTTAGTCGACTCCTGAAAATTTGCCTCAAAAGTCATGCAAATTTATTGGTACACATATGAGCAAGGGAGCGATTAACGCGGGTTACTAGCTTTAGACGGGTCCGTCTCCAGGGCATGGCAGCGTCTTAATCCGTCCCTGGTATGAGCCCTGTTTTTTGACAGCGGATCCTTTCCTGAGTGATTGAGTGCATCTATGCATTCTGGTCCTGTCACACATCAGATCTGCTGTGGCTTCTCTTTTATTGATAGTTGCGCTCACACACACACAGCTGACCCTGAGATTTGAGCTCTGGCCAAGTTTTCCACAAGCACACACGGACCGGAACATTCTGGGACTCGCAAACTCCCTCTTTATTTTTTAAAATGCCGGGTTGATGTCTTTCTACACCGTTGGATGGGTGACCTCCACAGACAAATCCACACACATCTCTATGATCGAGGGTCCAAATAAAAGATGAGTTATGGGAATCAACACTGAACTGGTCTTTGATGCAAGAGGAGTGAACTGTTCAGCCTCTGAACAGCTGCTGTTATGGTTCGACTGTAAGAATGAAAAGAAAGACTCGTGAGAGGATGTAACTGTTGCCGAGCTCTGAGAAGACCATTATATATGCTTAACCCTGCCAATTCCCAATGCGTTTGATCTGGAAGTGTTTGTTTTCTTGTCAGCACAATCCCAATGTCACCTTGTGCGCTTTTAAAGGGGCCATGTTAATAGCATACATTTTTCATTGGAAGAAGATGGGCTTTGTTAGCTTGGGCCAGAAAACAACTGCCTAGAATACCCTAACAACCATCTGCTCATGCCCTAGCAACCTGGAACACAGTGGTGTGTTATGCATGGGCAAACGCCAGTCATATTGTCTTCACAAAAGTTGCATTTTGATTATTTTTGTCTGTAACCAGATGCTTTCAAGCAATGGCCGTTTCTTCCCATAGTTGTCATTTTAATTTTCTCTGTAGTTGGGATCATATTTGATCTTGATTTGACTTATCTTGTTATTATCAAACTGTCTTTGAGGCATGTGTACGTCTTGGCTGATGTTCGTTGAGGATTTGGCTCGGTTCTGTAATGTCTGCATGAGTGCTGTTATATTTGGCAGCATAAGGCCTGAAATTCACAGCAAAGTGACCTAGTTTTGTGTCCTGCTTCATGTTGGCATTCCGATGATGTTTGATAGGCCCTTTTTCGCCAAAACTAACCGCTATTATTTTGCTTTCCTTTCGAAGCATCCATTGAAGTGCTCAGGCAAAATAGCAAACACATCATTTTGGACCTGATTTGGTAATGTTTGTTATGATGTAATTAAAGGCGGCCTTCTCCCAGGTCACTTTCTGTAGATGAGCGTTAACGGAAGTTTGGGGTCAGTAAGATTTAAAAAATAATAATAATTGCATTCAACAAAGATGCATTACATGTTTTTACGATTTCGATTTCTTTTTCTTTTTTTCAAGAATTTAATGTTTTTCTTTCGTACCTTGCATTTATCTAAGAATTCTGAAAGAAATATATTGTGGAAATATAAAGCAGCGCAACTGTTTTCCACATTGATAATAATAATCAGAAATGTTTCTTGAGCAGCAAATCATCATATTAGAGTGATTTCTGAAGGATCATGTGACACTGAAGACTGGAGTAATGATGCTGAAAATTCAGCTTTGATCACAGGAATAAATTACATTTTAAAAGAGATTAAAATAGAAATCGGTTATTTTAAATTGTAATAATATTTCACAATATCACTCTTTTTACTGTCCCTCATACCCTCATGTCACGAAACGATACATATCACGATACGATATTATTGCGATACTCTAAGACATATGGTAAAAGATTAACAAAAAGTGAACTGTTTATTTATTATTCTGTTGTTTTAAAATGCTAAATTTGGTATTACATTGTGGGTGTAAATGAATAGGCTTGGACGTAGTGCAGGCAACCCAATGCACAGGACAATGGTGAAACCAGAATCAAAATAATTCATGATTCTGAAGCTGAAAACAATTATTTTAGACGAATATGCTTGCACGCTTTCACTGGCTAGATCTATTTAAAATAATGTAGGACACTATTTTTTACTGGTAACATAAGACATTTGGCATTATCAGGACCCACAAATAGTCCCTCATTGCATTACTATACATTATATTCAACATCATATATAGTAGTTTAATGCAGTACTGACACTAAAACACACAGTAATTTTCATTTTGGGTGAACAATACATATCCTCACTATCCACGATGCATATTGTTGCATTTTTGTATTGCGATATATTGTGACACCACTAGTAGCATGTATTGTTCTTTATTGGGTGTCATTGTATTAGTTCCCAACTTCCCATCATGCACAGCTCCTTGTCTCCTCCTAATCGGACTGTGATGTCTAGCAGCGGTCAGTCTGTCTCAGTTGGACATGGAGCTCTTCCCAGCAGAGAGAGCTGAGCTGGCTAGACTGAAGCCTGTCTCACACTCGTCCCTAAACCCCTCTGAGGCCGAGCCACCAATCGACTGCTGAAATGGATTATACATCCTACCCAACCGCAACCGAGCAGAACCATGGGAAAAGAGGCAGTGTTGGAACAGGTGCTGGAGGGAGACGCTGTTCATTACACTCCCACACACGTCCTCTCGTTTCACAGTGGGCTGTGAAGCAAAGGCCTGAATTGCAAATGCAGGTTTCCTCTGATGAACTGAACAATAGCTGAGGTGTTTTATTGGGAATTATAAAAGGGCCCTTGCTGTTTATTCATATTAATCACGTTGTTGCTCATGTAGAACCGGCTTTTGTGCAAGAGTGAACATTGTTTCTTTCTGTTCCCTTCAGCTCTACGCGATCCCGTGGTTCCTTACAATGTTCACACGTAAGTATCAGTGGCTCACGTTGACTGCAGATCTGAAGCATTGGACAACGTTTAGCTATTTTCTGGATGCATAGAACCTAATAGGACCTTATTATAAAGTGTCATTTATAATAACATTCATTTGCAACATTCATTTGAAGATGGTTTATTCTACATGAAGGCTGAACAGTGTTGAGATGATCCAGATGGTAAAACTATAGAAGGACATACAACCATATATCTAATTATAGTGTTTTTTTAAAGTGATTCACTCTGTAGTCATTTATGCGTTCGCATTTATTTTGGTTTGAAATATGAAATACGCGTTTATCTTCAAAGACATAATCAGAACATGAATTGTTCTCTTTCAGAGAGTTGTATTTCCAAAACAATAAGCACTGATGGACTAATTATGCATTGTGTTATCAAAAAATACTGCAATGTGCAGTAGCTTGTGGTAAAAATACACATAATAATAATACTAATAATAATTATAATTCTTATCATATATATTTAATAGTAATATTGTTGATGTTGGAATAGTTATTTTTTATTAATAACAAATATTGCAGATCTGATTTACATTAATTATGTAAAACTATACTTGCATAATTTAATACAAAATTTGAATATTATTTCAAGAAGCTCTGTTTCAGAGACTTGTATTTTCTGAACAATAAGCACTGATGGACTAATTGTGCATTGTTTCATCAAACATTGCAACAACTGCAGTATTTTGTGGTAAAAACATAATAATAATAATTTTCTATTCATATTTTATTGTTATTGCTACTATTTTTTATTGCTATTATTAATATAATAATTGTTTTTATTATTAATAGCACAATATTAACAGTGTAAAAATACTTGTATAACTTAATTATGTTCTGTTGTCTTTTGATGATCACACAACAAACAATATGTTTCTTTCTTTAAATGCACAACAAAAAATGAATAAATGAACTGATTTTTTTTTAATTATTATCAAAATTTTTTTTAAAACAATGTCAATTACATACAATGTCTTTTTAATAAACATGGATAGTTCCTGTTTTGGAATCTGAAAATACACAATATAGCAACAGCTATGATACAGTAGGCCTGTTGACCATATTAATGCACAGCTGTTACAGTGCAAAGGCTGCAAACAATACTCGCAATAAGTCATTTGTTGTCCCATTTCCTCCGCAGATGTGTTCCCCCTGCACAAGATCTTCCACCTGTGGGACACCCTGCTTTTGGGAAACTCCTCTTTCCCTTTTTGCATCGGTGTAGCTATTCTGCAGCAGCTGAGAGACCGTCTGCTGGCCAACGGCTTCAACGAATGCATACTGCTCTTCTCAGACCTGCCCGGTAAGAGTCAACAGTGCACGCGCACAGAAAACATTTGATTTACATATTCTTTTATAGCATTTAAATAGTTTCCCCCTAAAGTTCAATTGTAATATTACAAAAACAGTTGCGATTTAGTTTCTCATGACCATCTCTGACCCAACAAGCTGTAGCTTCTCTACCTTTAAGACTTTTATATGTAAATGACTTTTGTTAGGTTTAGCTAACCTCTGTCTACCAGTTTAGACTCTTTTTCAACAGGGCAAGTGGTTGAATATTGAATAGGCATTGAAAAAGGCAGTTGTATGCTAATGGCAATTTGGGAATTACTTTCGTTTGCATAAATTTGCATTGCGAATTGCGAATGAATATTTCTGCATTGAGCTTTTGGTTAAAGTGTATGCTAGAATTGTGTAGAACAGGTGCATTGTGTGTAAATCTACTTTATGCTGTTTAAGCGCTGAGTTTATACTCTTAGAAGAAAAGGTTCTATATTGAATCTTAAAGGGCTCTATTGTAGTAATTATGGGAACTAGCCACCAGGGCGGTCCCCCGAGAACTACATTTTGTCCGAGGGCCATTTTCCTGGTGGTAGTAGTGACTCTGAAATGAAGTAAGCCGGCAGACAGCGGAGTCAGGCCAAAATTTTCTTGTTTGCCATAACCCGACCGACTCTGTCAATTTAGGACCGACCCAATTTTTAATTTTTTTTCCCTTTTAGTCCGACCGACTTGCCGGTTGTAAACTTGCATTAAGACCGACCGATTTTTTTTTCACTCTTCAAACAACTAATACAAATGCAATAAAATATCAATTATATTATAGTAAGTATTGTGAATATAAATTGCATAGGCTACGTTCTTTCTTTTAAATAAAAACCCGTGGCGTCATCTATGATGATTATGTTTACACCATTGGTTTACACATGTCACATTATGGCCTGTGCGTTCGCTTCGTTTCATTCACGGTCAATGGTTCGCGCTCGGTGATGATGGCTGCGGCGCGGCTGCTTGTGAAATACGTCTGTATGAGCCTACATTTAGGCGCTCATTATTCGAAATTTTTTATGGTCAAATAGGGAATAGATGTTAACGGCCTTTTCTCGGAGTGCGTCCAGCTCGTCACGATATGGCCGCCGCGAACGCGCGTCACACAGCAACGGCAGACTCTGACAAACACACATAAGTATGGGAAGCCAAACACACCGAAAGTGGGACGAAACGGCGCGGTGTTACAGAGTTCGCGCAGCGCGGACATGTAATCTGTGCGGCTCAATAGACCGAGACGCGCGAGCGCGACAGACTCGACAGCGCAGGGAGTAAGTGTTTGCTTGCGCGACCTAATCTCACCAGCGCCGCGCTGACCAATAAAACAGCACATCCCATACCGAAATGTACTAAATTACACTAAAGAAAATCGACCATTCCATAATATGTCAGGACTACTTAATATAGTTTCTACAATGCGCCTAGCCATTTGACCTCACTGATTCCCGTTAATAATAGCAGATGTTTATGGGTCCAATTTAAACGAATAGTGCCAAATGCGCTGTTTTATTGGTCGGCGCGGCGCTGGTGAGATTAGTCATTTTAATTTATTTGTTTCCCTCTGAAAATCCACTCTTTTTCCCCAAATGAATGCAGCTGGAATTAATGCAATAAACATGTTTTTTGACAAAGATTTCAAATAGTTTTTTGTCTATAACCTGTATCAGAATGAGATTCGCAATGGTGCGCCCAAAGGCATGGGTTGAAGACACAGTCAGTGGCGTCACGATATGCAAATTTGTTTAAATTCATACCGACGTAATCACCATGACCAAAATTGTCCTTTTTTTTCCATTGAATTTTGAAAAAAAAAAAATATATATATATAGACCTACCTACCGACCCTTTTTTTTTTTTTTTTTTTTTTTTTTTTGCTGTTACTGCAAACCAAAATATTTTTAAGGATGGCCTCATTTAAGCGCGTCATTCAACAACGTCAACAACTGGAGAATTTAGGACGTTGTGAATGGTTGAAATTCCTGGACTCTGGCGGATGCCTGTGTTTCATATGGCATTCATTTGGCCAATCAGCACACACTTACGCCACTGGTAGTTCCTATTGTGCTGGGTTAGACTCTACTCAGTGGGAGCTAATTTAGTTCCCTCTAAAAGGCGTTCCTAGAACTAAAATTAATGTTCTAAAAATTCATGCTTTAAAAGTGGCTACTTCCTACTTCCAGAATTTATAAGAACTTTGAAACATTCCTCCGGTGCTTCATATATAGAACCTTTTAGGAGTTTCCACCATGGGATCATTTTATGGATTTAGATATATTTATTATTTATTTATTTAATGTATGTAATACATTTTTATTTTGATTAAATGTTATGAATTAAACCCCCCTTAACATACTTTAGCAGAAAAAAAAAACATTTTGACCCAAAACTCATCTGTTCAATTTACGGTAAAATACCGGCAGCTGTGGTTGCCAGAAATTTACCGTATTAAATATGGTAGCAACATATTAGGTTTTACAGACTTAACTTAAAATTTACAGTAACAAATCGTATTTCATTATCTGATATAATGTTGATTTACCAACCTATTGAAGTATTAATATCTGTTTTATACCATTAATACACTGACAACCAACAACCACAGTGGTGATGAGAGTCACATGATCAATCACAGCTCATCACAAGCAGCTCTTTCACTAGAAAGTTAATACTAATATATAGAAGCTGCACAGTTTCATTCACACAAGCATTAAACACCATCATGGTAACACATGAAATTTTAAAAATGCAATAAACATTAATTTAACAACATTAAATGTAACATAAAAGCCTAATGTACATAACTGATTAGAAAAAAAACTAAGAAAACTATGAAGAAACATAGTTATTTCAACAAAAATACATAAAATGCGAAGTGTCACGCAGGGAATTGTGGGAATGTAAATTTATGGTTTTTCACTGTAAATTATACAATGAGTTGTTCTTTTTCACTTTCAAAAACTGTAAATTTAACAGTATTTTACAGTAAGATTACATTAAATGTACCATTAGATCTATCACAGTTATATACCGTATATAGTAAGGAAACTTTCTGTTAACCAATTAACAGTTTTTCGAATACACACAAAAGAATTGACTGGATTCGAGAAGTTTATGTGGTTGTAATAAAAAAAAGTAACAAATTCTAACCTCACAGGTCAATTCGACCCCCTTAGGAATGAATGGAATGGGAGGAATGCTTCAGTACACATAGAAAAAAACTAAAAAATGCTCAAAATTAAAACATAAAATGCTAAAACTTTCACAAAAAAGATTTTCGAATGTGTACATGTGTATCTGAATGCATACGGAAGAGATACTCAAAAACTGCCTTTAGGACCCAGCGGAACAGCTCATTTGCTCCATATAGAGGCAAAAGTCATGAAATATCATGTTATATTATTATTCTTTCCACAAGAGGTTGGCAGAGACACCCAAATTGACCCAATGTGAGATATTTTGAGCTGGTTATGCATGTATTGGAAAGTTATTTTGAATTTAGGTTGAAAGAATGTGAGGAATGTGCTTGATTTTATCAATAAATAATATAATTTGAGTCATTTAATGGTACATATAAATAATAAAAAATCTCCCAAAAAAAATGCATTAAAAATAGTATTAAAATTAAATGATATAAGCTTTCTGGACAAAAAAAAAAGAAGTATAATTTTAGGGCTTCTGGTCATTTTGACCTGCGAGGGAAGGATTTGTTACAGAATATGTAATCAATTAAGATATTTCTTCTTATATAGAACCTTTTTGAAATAAAGGGTTCTTTAAAATTGTGTCAAGAACATCCTAGGGTTCTATATAGAACCCCAATTAACCATTTTTCGAGTGAAGTGCAACAAGGATGCTTATAAATACACGTGTGAGTTTGCTGCAGTTGCCGTGGAGCCTTGGAAACAGCAAATAATGCACACTTGTCTGTTTAAACTCCTCTGTCAAACAGCGTGCTTTATTCCCTGTAAGCTTCCCGATGCCGGGGCTCAGTTGAGACCTGTTTGCGATGAGCTCAGGATAAGTTATGTGGCTTATGCCGTGGTATGTGGGAAGAGGCAGCTGGCACCGGTGTGGCCCGTCGAGTGGCGTTCCGGCCGGGACACCGTGCGTTTCCTCTGGCATCTGCTTGCCACGATTCCCCGAGGTTGCTGTCAACACGGAGCTGTGCCGTGGCTGAAGTGATGGACGATGATTGAGTCTAATGTGAGGGAATTAGCTGGGAGCATTCAGAGCTGCAGGAATGCTGATGGTGTGTACACTCAGTCACAATGCAGGGATTACTTCCCAAAATAATGTGAAAAATATCCGTTACCATGGCAGTTGAAAGCAGGAGAAGTCCTGAAACTTGTCACCGTAAACGCCAAAATGCTCAAAACAAGGGTTAAAGAAAGCTTGTTTTGATAGTGAGGTGTGTGTATGTGTGTGTGTGTGTGTGCTTGTAAAATCAAGGTAAAAGGAGCATTTAAATGTATTGTTCTTATTTAAATGTCAATGGATATGCATGCTGGTTATACTTCCTGTTTTTTTTTTTCATCCAGTTTAGAGGATGTCTAGTCCACTTTATTCTGTATACAATTAAATCAATTTTTATGAATCTCATATATAAAATAAATATGTTATCTTTTACTTACCGTCATGCTATTCCCAAAAATAAAATAAAAAATCTTTACCAATTTAAGTTGTTAGTTAAAGCAGTTAAAAGTGATATTTTAGGTTTGACGTCAGTTTTTGGTGCAATTAGTAATTTTTTTCCCCCACTTTACACGCTTTAGTTTACGCGTAAATGTCACGGCCGGCTCGCAAGCCGCAACAAAGAAGGAGACAACACGTTGGATAATGCTCAAAAAGAATAACATTTATTTAAGTAAGAATAATTAAATGAGACGAGACGCAAAACAAGGCAAAGCAACAATCGGATCCAAGACACAAACGGCACGAGAATGGTGAGAGCGCGCCCCGTCACAGCTGAAGGGAACTGCTTTATTTGCCGGCATCAGTTCCAACACAGGTGTAACTCCTTAATCAATAATGACGTCACTAACTCTAACTCCATCCTGCAAACCAAACAAAAAGAAACACACACAAACCACAAATATAACCCATACTGGGTTCATAACACCCTCCCCCATAGAAAAGGGTTGACATTTATGAATCCCAACTTAAACCCTTCACCCGATAACCCCACATCACTGTATGACACCAACTTCATCTTACCCCCAATGTCCTCAGCAACTACGGGCCCTGTAGAAGCAATCTTAGGAGAGTAAAGGAAAGCAAGACAAAACATTGTTCATAAACAGTTAAGAAGAGTAAGGAACTCTAGACAATGCGTCTGCCACCACATTGTCAGTACCTTTGATGTGTCGAATTTCAAGGGCGTATGACTGTAGGAAGAGGCACCAACGAGTCAAACGTTGATTTGGGCACCGCAAAGAGTGTAAATAAGTAAGTGGGTTGTGGTCAGTGTACACGACCAAAGAATCTGACACTGATCCCACATACACCTCAAAATGCTGCAGGGCCCAAATCAGCGCTAAAGCCTCTTTCTCAATCACCGAATAATTTAACTGTTAAGAAGAAAACTTCTTCGAAAAATAACTCACGGAACGGTGAATTCCCTCATCATTAGCTTGTAACAATACAGCTCCCGCACCCACGTTGCTAGCATCCACACACAACCTAAAAGGGCGGTCAAATTTGGGAGCTGCTAACACAGGAGCGGAAGTAAGCACTGATTTAGCTGCCTCAAAAGCTTCCTGACAGACAGAAGTCCAGATAAAATCGGCTTTTGCCTTCAGCAAATCAGTGAGTGGGGCCACCACGGTGGAAAAATTCCTACAAAATCCCCGGTAGTAACCCACTAACCCCAAAAAACGCATCAACTCCTTTTTGGTGGATGGAGAAGGAAATAGATCAATGGCGTCAACCTTGGCCCGAACTGGACGCACACAACCCTGTCCAACGACCTTACCCAAGTAAGTCACGGTGGCCTTGGCAAACTCACATTTGGCCAAATTGACCGTCAGACCAGCCTCAACAAAACGGGAGAACAGATCTGCAATATGACTCAAGTGCTGCTCCCATGAATCACTAAAAACCACCACATCGTCCAAATAAACCGCGACTCCCACCAATCCAGAAACAACCCTATTCATAAGTCGCTGAAACGTTGCAGGCGCATTTCTGAGACCAAAACTCATAACATTATATGAAAATAACCCCTCAGATGTAATAAAGGAAGAGATCTCCTGAGCCCTTGGGGTCAACGGAACCTGCCAGTAGTCCTTGAGCAGATCAAACTTACTTACAAATTTCGCGGGCCCCAACCCGATCAACACAATCCTCAATACGAGGAAGTGGAAAGGAGTCTGGTTTCGTCACTTTATTTACTTTCCTATAATCGGTACAAAACCATCAGCTTTATTGACAAGCAAGCAGGGGGATGCCCAGCTGGAAAATGATGGCCGTGCAATGTCATGATCTAACATATATTGAACTTCAGCAACCAGATGTAAGAGTTTATTTGGGGACACACGATAAAAATGTTGGCGAATGGGCTCAGCATCCCCAACATCAATATCGTGCTCCGCGCAATGTGTACACGAAGGTACATCACCAAATAAAGAGACATGATGATTAATAAGAGCAGTCAAGTCGGTACGTTCACTCTCTGTTAAATGGGTCAACATTTTATGGACATTCTTCAAAGTCTCTGAATTTTTAAGACGTCCCAACAGCACCGTATCCTCAGGGAAAGAAACCCCTTCATCAATTTCCTCTTCCAAAGGAGCAGGGGAAATGCTCTCAACTACCAGTGCAGACTTCACATCTGCTCTGGTCTCTAAAGCTTTAGGAGAACGACAATAATACGGCTTCAACAAATTAATATGACACAGCTGTGTTGACTTCCTTCTCTCTGGGGTGGCAATAAGATAATTTAAGTCAGTAACTTGTTTCACCACTACATACGGACCAGTAAACCGAGCTTGAAATGGTGAGCCCTCCACAGGTAACAGAGCCAACACTTGATCACCAGGCATAAACTGTCGTTTCTCAGTTCGCCGATCGTAAAGTGACTTCATACGTCCCTGCGAAGAATGCAATTGTTCTCTTGCCATCTTACCTGCTTCATACAATCTGCGCTTAAAGTCATTCACATAACTTAACAAATTCTGAGGCGGTGTACCTTCAGTCCAATTATCGTGGAGCACAGCCAGTGGTCCCCGAACGGTGTGCCCAAACACCAAATCATTGGGACTAAAATGAGTACTTTCCTGGCTCACCTCACACGCTGACAACATCAACCACGGCAATCCCTGCTCCCAATCACCCCCCAGCTCTGTACAATAAGCACGCAGTAGGGACTTCAGCGTCTGATGGAAACGCTCTAAAGCCCCTTGGCTTTGGGCATGATAAGCACTAGCTTTATTGTGCTTAATGTGCAACAGTTTCAAAACCTGCGAAAACAAATGAGACGTAAAATTAGAACCTTGATCACTTTGCACAATCTTTGGAATGCCAAAAATAGAAATGAATTGAGTCAAGGCCTTCACCACCGACTTTGCAGTGATCGTACGGAGGGGATAGGCCGCAGGGTACCGAGTAGATGCACACATCACAGTGAGCAAATAAATACTACCTGATTTTGATCTAGGCAGTGGGCCTACACAATCGATGATCAAGTGCTCAAAAGGTGGACTAACAGCTGGAATAGGAAACAGTGGAGCAGGTTTGATCTTCTGATTCGGCTTGCCTGTTAGTTGACAGGTATGACATGTCTGGATATACTTTGACACATCCTTCTTCAATTTAGGCCAAAAAAAATGACGAAGGATTCTGTCATAAGTCTTTCTTACCCCTAAATGTCCAGCAAGTTTATCATGAGAAATCTCCAACACCAATGAACGATATTTCTCTGGAACTACCACCTGCAAGATAGGATCCCCAGCAAAGTCACTTCCATGAGGAATCCATTTCCTCACCAACATTCCATCCTGCAAGAGATAACCCTGAGCAGCATGCCTAATTTCATCAGGAGACATCACACTCTCAAACAATTTATGGAGAGAAGAATCAAGTTTCTGCTCCTGGATCAAATCAGAAGAGGAAACAGAAAAGTCATCAGGCAAGGAAAATGCTGGTCTACCCAAAGAATCAGATGTTAACCTTGGCTGTGCAGAGGTCATGGATCGAGTTACAGCACAAGCAGTAAATACCTGCGGAAAGTTCTTGTTGCTCTCATCAGGACCTGGAAGGGGAAAAGATGAAACAACAGGAGGTGAAAAGGTAACAGGCCAAACCCTGCCCCCTGCCAAATTATTTCCCAGGATTATATCCACCCCCTCCACTGGTAATGATGGACGCACTCCAACCACCACTTCTCCATTCACAAGTTCAGATGACAACATAATTTTATGTAATGGGACAGATAGGACATTTAACCCAATTCCCCTAATAAGAACAGTAGTCTCAGTATCACTCACAGAGGAAAAAGGCAGCACGTCCTGCAAAATAAAGGACTCCGAAGCTCCCGTGTCCCTCAGTATCGTTACTGGAACATTTGTCTCTTTACCAACAAGCGACACGTGCCCATAAGTAATAAAAGGTGCATAATCTCCATCTTTTAACTGGTCAACTGCTGTAGGAGATCCTTCAGAAGACAAGCCAACAGAATTCAACAATGGTCCCACAAGACCTGCTGGTTTAACGCGAAGAACCTTTCCTCCTTTACTCTTAGCTTTAAGCACAGGACACTCATTTTTCCAATGGCCTTTACCATGACAATAGTTACAGATCAGAGATGAATCCTTGGGCATGCGATCTACTTTACCTTCAAAAATATCATCCCTTTTCCAAAACTCAAAACTACTCTTGTGCGTTAAAACATAGTCATCAGCCAACTCAGCAGCTTTAGCAGTTGTTTCAGCTTTCTGCTCATTTATATATGTTGCTATTCGAGCAGGAACAGAGTTCTTAAACTGTTCAAGCACAATTAAGTTAGTCAACTCTTCAAACGTGGTTACCTCAGATGCCATACACCAACGATTAAACGCAGAAGTGAGCTCCCTAGCAAACTCCACATAAGCCTCCTTTACACCCTTGGACAATGTTCTAAATTTTTGTCGGTACGCTTCTGGTACTAACTCATAAGCTTTTAAAACTGCCGCTTTAACGGTATCATAATCGTTGCAGTCCAAGTGTGACAGGGCAGAATAAGCTTCTTGAGCCCGGCCAGTGAGCACACACTGTAAAAGCAGTGTTCGTTCCTTACTAGGCCAACCTCTTGCCTCCGCTATTCGCTCAAACAATATAAAAAAGGTATCTGGGTCTCGCTCGTTAAACTTAGGCATTAACCTCAAATTTCCAGCAGTGTCAAACACTGGAGAAGCACCCTGCAAAGCATCAGTTGAACCATTTAGCCCACCTTCTCTTATGATCTCCAAGCGGTATTTCTGCAGCTCAACATTAGTCTGTTCATTTCTAGTTTTCTCACGCTCTACTTCCAACTTCAAACGTTCCTGTTCAAGCTGTAACAACAATAAACGTTCCTGTTGTTCAAAAGTTAAAGAGCCGACATGAGGTTTAACTTGAGAGATGATAGCTGTATCTGACTTTTCAAACAAGACGGCCTTCTCTATTAGTCTTGTTTTAAGTACCTCTCTAATTGTACTATCCTTTAACCTCTTATCTCCAAGTTCAATTTCATAATGATCCGCAATTTCAAATAACTGATCTTTTGTACATGAACCAAGCAAACCTTCAGAAGGAGAACTAATAAACTCTACAACTAGATTAGACATCTTTCCAACTTAAAATGCACGTTACAAATAGAAGTGTTTTTCAAACCTCAGCAGGAGTAATAAAATGGTTCCCTCTCCCTAGCTATAACAAAAAAAAAAATTCTAGCTAACTCAACCCTATAATCTTCATGTGGTTACTGGTGAGGGGTATTTTAAGCACCAAATCCCACTAGTACGAAGAAAAGCAACCAGCACGCTGGCGACTCACTCATACCATGGCTATGCACTCGAGACCACTGCTCTACTCACGTTCGCCACACAAAAATAAAAAAAAATTACATTCTATCCACTTGTTCCAAAAGGGAACGAGCAGCTGAACCTAACCAGGGAACACAAATAATATTCCTCCCACAAAAGGATTTGCAAAAACACTTACCTTCTACAGATACAGTCCTCCACACATTCCGTTGTCAAAACCAAACAAATCCAACGCGTATTTCCTTCAAAGTACGATGTATAAAACATCCCAAACAATAGCGCTTAACAAACGATCTCTCTTACAATTTTACATTCGGTTAATCAACACGCAAATTACCTTACAAAATAACCAAACGCAAAAAAAAACAAAGCGCTTCCAAATCATGACGAAATACAACTGGAATTTTCAAACGTTAAAGGACAGACGAGCCCCCATTTGTCACGGCCGGCTCGCAAGCCGCAACAAAGAAGGAGACAACACGTTGGATAATGCTCAAAAAGAATAACATTTATTTAAGTAAGAATAATTAAATGCGACGAGACGCAAAACAAGGCAAAGCAACAATCGGATCCAAGACACAAACGGCACGAGAATGGTGAGAGCGCGCCCCGTCACAGCTGAAGGGAACTGCTTTATTTGCCGGCATCAGTTCCAACACAGGTGTAACTCCTTAATCAATAATGACGTCACTAACTCTAACTCCATCCTGCAAACCAAACAAAAAGAAACACACACAAACCACAAATATAACCCATACTGGGTTCATAACAGTAAACAACTTTGACATTTCTAAAATCTTGTGCACTCACATTAGATAAAGACTCAACTGGTTCAGTGTTGTTATTGTTCAAATTAAAACTTAAACTATTAAAAAAACTAGTCTAAAATAAGATGTGAAAAAAATGCCTTGGCAACTAACTGAAAGTATTAAAATTTTTAAAACTGAAATGCTAATATAAATTAAAGCTGAATAGAAAGATAAAAAACGAATAAAAACTGTGAGTCAAAATTGTGAGAGAGAATTTGCAATTACCTTTTTCAATTTTATTCAGTAGCAGAAACCAGGCCAGCTTATTCCAGCATTTGAAGTTAATAACCTAAAACACCAGAGGATCTCACCTCACACGTTGTCATGTCCCAGGGAATGCCTGTTTGTTAGGCTGTCCTTCCAGTGGAGGCCGCAAAGAGGATAATACTGTCATATCAGAGTTTCGGAAGACATATGAAACATAAACACTACTTATTGCACCTTGAAAGCTGAAGTGTTTGGCACTAGTTGCACCAAATGGAATTGCGAAAGTTATTACTTCAAACACACAGTACCATCTTAATACATTATTCGCTGCTTCTAGAGACTAGGGTGTCACAGAGAGAAGCATGATTTGGTGATATCTGTCAGGTGGTAGGGGTGTTTGCAAGGCTTTGCAAACAAATTTTGAAAAAGGCAAAAGAAAATCAAATCAAAGGCAATCACAGAGAAATCTGTTATAGATATGGCAACGATGTTCAACAGCAGCCCATGAGACACGCCATTACTCTGTCCCGTCAGGAGACAAACATCCAGCTGGAAGTGAAGCACAAATCACATTTTGACAAAAAGAGCATCTGACTACAAGTGGCTAATAAGCATCTGTCACTGACAAGCCTGGAAATAGCTTCAGAGATTTTACAGGACAGTCTCCCTTCAGATACTTCTAAAGACTTGACTTGCAAGGGATGCTCCATGGCTCCAGGCGGGAAGACTAGGGTTTGATCGGTTTCCAAAGCCAGATTAACTAGCAGGGCTGTTTTGGAGCTGTCCAGTTCTGTCAAAATCAGTTAAAACCATGTAAACCTACTGGCCTGAATAAGTGTCTGGAGTCTAACACTCAGCGGCATGTAGTTGACTTCAGAAATCAAGATATTTCCTTATGAATTATAAGGAAAAGGTGGTCTGGGGTATGTTTTTCATTATTATTGGATAATGGCATCCATTATCCATCAGAAATCATTGCTGGTAGATATTTTCTCTTTAGAAAAAGGAGTGCTGTACATACAGTAGTAATATTTTTATATTCGTTTTATTTTTGTACTGTTGGTTATTTTATCACCTCCTCCCACTAACTCTATTT